GAAGCGGGGGGGGGTCCAGAACCGGCTATTTCATACTACTGGTGCTGAAGAAATATAATCTTTGTGAGGAAAAGGGGGGGGGGAATAAAGTCAAAAATCTCTGATAATACACTGAACACACTATTTTTTGTTTTTACAAGTTATAAAACAGTTAAAAATATTAACTAAAATAGTGGGGAGTATGCAAAATCGCTTTTGATAATACATGAATATTGTAATTACGTATAAATTGAATGGTATAAATACCGTTGGAGTTCGCATGGAAAATTATACAAGACAGGCTGTATGACAATGATATAGAGGTACATGATCTGTGGTGATGTTTTAGTTTCTCAGCAAAGGAAGAGTCGTAGAGAACCAATGTAGACATTGGACGTTGACAAATATTACATAGCTATAGTGCCTAGTGGACCTATCGCGGGTTCCATGTTATAAGCTTACAATTTTCACGAGGAATTGTGACTTTTCCGGTTAAAAAGCTTTTACCGGCTGACAGGTTATTAACAAACGGTTATTCTCCAATAAAACGTTTTTCCGGAAATATTTCTTTCTTATTTTTTTTTATTTTTTTATTTCTAAATAATATTTATTTATATTAAATTTAATGCTAACATTTAAATTGTCATATCTAACATTTATTTAGAGGTTCAAACACCACACAATATTTCGTTTAGTTGTGAATTAAAGTATATTATTCACATGCTGTTGGTGTATGATATTATACCAAGGTACAAATAGGTACGTACATACATTATTGGGGCATTTGAATTTTATTAGAATAAAAATTCTGCCTGAAAAATAATAACTAATGGCTACATAATTTTCGATTTCTTTAATTCATTAACAATTTGTTAGTTATATTGATCTAAATATTTTTATTTTTATTGTATAACCAATTTATTTAATCAACAATTAGGATTGTGTTGAAATTAAATCATATTAGTAAATATACCTGTACACACGATATACCTATTATTGATTGTTGTCGTTGGGATAAGTTCTCATTATTTTTATCTAATAAAGAATCGATACTTATATATCCACGATTCAATGTTTTCTAAATTTTATTTTGGTTCTTAGTAGTATTTATACGTTTAAAGGTGTACTACATTGATATATACCATATAATATTTTAGTCATTGTGGAGCACATTACATAAGCGTTTACCAAGGACCGACATCCAACAGTCCTTTGCTAACTACAATTTGTGACAAGAGCAAAAAAGATCACACTTTTCCCGGGCCAAACGTGCTGCTTGAGTTCAGGTAAAACTTTATCAAAATTATGTATTTACTAAACTTTGGAATTTTAAATACATATCTTAAAGGAGTTAAAACTATTTATTAATTTTGTGTAGGGCTGGGGCCACGATTCCTCCGTACGACTACACGGGCTTTGTGGCTACTATCGAGTTCATTGATGACGTGAGTACCCAACCAGCCAGTACGGCGGCCACGTTGGAAGTATCACCATATCCAGCCATTGCAGTTCAAAGTAAAAACTAAAACGATTTCAAATCAGTAAAATATAATAAGAATACTGCGTAATTCTGACCATGTGATTTTGACTGTAGGGAACTTGAGGAACGACCAATCTTGTGAGATGACAATCAAATCAGCTGACATCAAGTCTGGACATTTCGATTTACGTGGTATACAAAATTGGAAAACAAATTGCACTATTCGTTTCGAAGGGAGGGAACCGGAAATCGTGCACATATCCTTGTTTAACTACGTGCTCAAGTGAGTGCGATATTAAATCATAAAACAATAATCATGAACATAAGACATAATTGACTTAAAATAATACATAAGTACATCTAATAATACAATTTTTATATAATGACCATTCATCATTAATTATTATATTGCTGTGAAAGTTAAAAATATATAAACGGAATTTTGAATTATTATTAATTTGAGTATTATTTATTGCAAGTTGGATTTATGTATTAGCACGTAGAATATGTTTGATTTATTCATATACTAATAAATTCTACCCAGACGTAATACAAAATAATTCAATTTCAAGTCCTGTACAAAATATACAATATTCTATTGATTTTTAATTTATTATTTAATGAATACAATATTTATGGTTCAAACGTACATAGGTACCAGCTAGTTCAAATATGTTATCCTTAAAATATATATTCAAACATAATATAAAGATTTAAAAGTTATCTATCAATCTATCATATGAAAATGTATGAAAAAACATTGTGCTTACAAATTACTATGATATTTTTAATTATTTTAGAGCAAGTTCTTGTCAATCATTTATTGAAATTTACGATGGACCAGATATAAGGTCAAAAGATAAAACTAAACGATTGTGTAGTCCCGTTGAGAATCATGCAAGGGATACAAATGGCATGTAAGTCTGAAGATGGAAAGTTTATTAAAGAATTAGATCAAAAATTGTAAATTGTTTTTTACTCCGATCAATTTTATCGTTTTGTTTCACTTACAGGTTTCGTGAAAGACAAATGTTTGTTTCGTCAGGAAATCATATGACGCTCTTCGTCCGCAGATTAATGGCAAATAATCAAGACGAAGAGACTGAATTTTTGGACGGTGCCTACAGTTTCTTTAATGGTTAATTCTTATCATAATAATACATACATTTATATCCGCTTAAGTATTCATTTTGATATTCAATTATGTATTTAGTATTAGAAAGAGGAACATTGCAACCGGACACGTTGTGTGATGTTAACTATAATGGCCGAAGCAGTTCATCTAGAGGGAAATTAAAACATCCAGGAACAGAACAAATATTTTGGAATGTCGAAGGACAATTGAGGTGTTCTCAAAATCTCATTCCAGCTACTAATCAGAGCATAAGCATCAAAGTAATAATTATTTTACATTTTCCATCTTTTAAGAAATATTATGCGTAATTAAAGAATAAACGTAAATTAATTTATGCTAACAATCATAATTGTATTTAAAATTTGTATTGACAATTATTTACTTGTAATAAATATTATATATTAAGTACTTATTATGTAATAAGAAAAATAATATTTTTAAAAATCTCATTTGATAAATGCTTAGCTACTAAATCTATGTTAAATCTCTGTGTTAGCTCTTATTAAATATTACAGTAGTTAAACTAAGTGGCCCGTTTATTTAGGATGTTGCGAAATGCCAATTATAAATCAAAGCATCTACTGAGACCACAAATAAATTATATAAGTTGTATAAAAGTCTTAAAAGTTAATAAATACTCCCTAGCCGGACTAAACGAGTTTCATACTAAAATGATAGTTTATGTTTGTATTTAAACACAAGTAAAAAAACAAGAAAATCCAAATAAAATACAAAAACCATATATTATACGTTCATATTACTTTGCTCACCTCATATTTTTTACTTCACATGAAAAAGTACACAATTCTTAAAATATTTTTAAGATGAAGTTACAACAATGAATTATGTTTTGAAGCCTAGATATAAGTAATTTAAGATTCATATACGTCAAAGGAAGTTACTTAGACAATTTACAAACCTTGTATTTATATCTGAGTTTAAAGGTTTTTTTTTTAAATTTTAGCATAAAAATAAAACACTTTTATTTTAAGTATACACTTTACATCCTTAGAATATTTTTAATTGTATAGGCAATATTTATACCTATTAAAAAATGTAAACCATACAACTTCCTCTCTAGTTTTCACATAAGTTACGAATACGAAAAGCACAAGCTGTATGAAGTAGGAAAACGTAATGATATTAAATCTGTTTGACAAGTCGTTTATGTGTTCGTTAAATTTGAAGAGTTTTTAATACATAAAATGCATTAAGTCGATACTATATTAAGATCAAAAACTATTATTTGTGAGAAGTTGTAATGTGTAGCATTTAGTGTAAGACATAATTACTGTTTTTAATGAAGTTTCATTAGGATCCCCTCTGTTGAATACTACCGATAAAAACTTTTAATAAAACTTACTTCGTAGTAGATTATAATAATGTTATATAGTTTGAAATTATTAATCAATATTTTTACATGAATAGTTCAATATAAGTTGTAACGGATATTTGACTAATATCATTATTGTAATCATTTTTGAAATAGATTGATATTGATTATATAATATGATTAATATGATACAATATTGAATACAACTCTATATAGAATAAATGTAAATTCTCTTTTCTTTATTTTTGTTTCATTAATCACTCTTGTATATTGTACAATTGTGTATTTAATACAAATAACTATCAGTTATTTATCTATTAACGAATTAGCAATAAATTATTTATTGGGAGTAGGTATATAATATTATAATGGCTTTAAACCCGTACAAATCAAAATTCCATTAGTATAGATTATTATTTATTTCTATTAACCAAAACTGTTCGAGCACATTATGTATTTGTTCTTGGACACTAGCTAAATGTATTTTTGTTTTCAAATTTGAATACTTAAACATCGCTTATCTTAAATATTATTTACAGATTATATCGTTGAATAAGATGTCTTCGGATTTGTGCTACACCGAATGTGGGGACGGCGGGTGTCGTTGTGTCAAAAATGCTACATCGGTCGTTGATCAGCTGTACGTCATCTCAACAAACGATGACATATTGTCCTGCATTTGTGGTGATTTTCAGGTAAGGTTCTGGACGGAGGAAACAGCGAACATATGTTCATAATATATAATATTTATTTGCTTTCCTGGTGGCTCGTTGGAGTGTACTGCATTATATTATATTAATATAACATATTATGATTTATGAGTATCGTGTTTCTATGTGGGTTAGGCCGAATGGTTGCCAGTCACTGTCAAATCGTGGTCACCCATCAAGTTGGTATACTCAGTATCAAAGTACAGCTGGTCCAACAAAGGATTCGAATACTCGGCCGAGTATTCGTTCAAAGAAGATATGGTGTGCGGATATCGGGTCATCAACCAACATACCGGCATACTCGAATCACCAATAATGATCAGAGAGAGTCCACTCAATTTCTATTACCATCAGGATTGCACGTGGTTACTGGATTCAAATGTCGAACGTCACTTGACCATAGAAATAGGAAGTTCGCAAAGTCGTGAGTATAAAATGTGATGTAACAAACTCACAACTGCAGTTGTCACCTTAGCGGAAAAATAATTTATTTTGGGTTTCTCAAAAAGACAACACAAAACCTATTAATTCTAAATATAATTTAATATGAAAATATACCGAAATTTATCATCAAATTATATTCCATCTATCTCTCCATCATATCTTTGAATATAATACATTATTGAAGAATTAAGGAAATTAATTTAATCTGTTGAAAATATTTTTTTTTAAATAATACTTAAAAAGGGTTTTTCACTGAATGTTAGAAATAGTCATTAACTTTTTAAGATAAAAATAGGGTTAATGATGGTTGAAAAAAAATAATTCTTCAAAGTTCTAGAAAAAACATAATTCTTCAAAGTTCTAAAAAAAGGATAATAGAGTCCTTGTTCTATAATAAAACAAACACTAATTCTGGTAATATCCTTTGTTGTAAAACTTAAAGTTTATGAAGTAGAAATTAAACTTAACTGGAAACACAATGGATGAAGACGAGTATTAGATTGGTAAAAATCTTTTTAAACAATATAGTTTTCTAAGAGTTTACAAAACACCTTTTCTTCTTAGAATAATTAAATAAAAATTTCCTATATTACAAGTTAGACAGATAAAAAAAAATAAAGTTCTAAAGCAGTTATTATTTTTGAAAATGAAGTATAATTATTAGTTTAACTTATTTAATTCAGATAAATCAGTTTTAACTTTAAGAAATCATAACGATACAATTTTGAAATATTTTTGAAATTACATAAAATATGGTACCTACCAGCTACCCAACAAAAAATCTTAAAAATCTATCAATTTTTTAAATTTCATCTCACTCCACCTCGTGTGCTAACAATCATACTATTCACAGAAGGATCCACCAGTTCAACAAATTAGTTTGGTTTTATAGAAACGATTTTAACCTTTTACTTGCATCTTATATTTTATGATTGTTAACCACATAACTTGTAATTGTATATGTCAAATTCCTTGATTCTTGAAAATAAAAATATAAAAATAAAATAATGAATCTACTTTATATAATATTTTATTTGGCCTTTCAAGTTTTTAAATTGAATTATTAAAATACCTATTTGACATTTGTTAATAATCAGCTATAGATATCACACAGGTTAAATAATCCTAGTGTTAAATATACTATTTTTTCTTATTTTTTTTTTTTATAATTTTATAAGCACAAGGTAATATTGAAAAAAGCTGTTAAGTGGTTGAAGCTCTGCTGTACTGTAGGTTACAAGTAGCTCACTGTAATGGATGGTGTTAAATTTGAATGCAATGATAAATATTGTTGTACACGGAAAACGGGGGTTAGGTAAACCTAAACCGTTTTTTATTAGCAAAACCTAACCCCTCCACACCCCCCCGAAGTAACTTTCATACCAGAAAAATATATTGTTGGAATAAATCGAAGCATTATTTCGACTACTTATCGTATACACAGACACAAAAAATAGTAATAATAAAAGAAAAAACACATCATTGGAAAACTAATACATTCATCGTTCCACTCAGATCTAAAATGATACAAATAAAATACTTTAAACATAGTTTTTTTCCACAACTTATACAAAACTTTTTGTCAAAATAATAAAATAACATTGAGATTTTGGTAGATGATTTAAGATTTAATTTCATAAAAATATAATTACTGACCTATATAAGTTTTCAAATCTAATGACAGAAAAGTTTTAATCAAACTAAAAATGACACTATCATTAAAATGTGTCATGTAATTTTTATTATTAATTAAATATAAAAACAGTGGAGTACAATCGTTTTCAGTAGCTTAGCTAGGGGAAAGGATATTGTTCATCTCCTGTCAGAAATTCTAACTACGTCGCTGATAGTTTATTAGTATAATTAATTTAAGTGATAAATTATTAACATTTAAATGGATTTTTTTTTATTGATCTTCTTGTAGCTTCGGCGACATGGGCCATTAGCTTTATACTTAGAGTAATATAGTATTATGCTAAAATATGTTTTGGGAAACAATTTGATTACAATAATAGGGAGAACTTTGTGGCTTATGACTATTAACTATATTCTATTTCTTAAATGTATTTCTCTATATCTGTGCTCCTTAAATGGATTTTAATCAAAGTATACAATATCTAAAGAAATAACTATTAAATAATTATGGGGTATACTCTAAATCTATGCTTGAACTTCGATGTTCACGAATCAATTGAAAATAATTTCAGCAATTACTCGTATTATTTCTTCAAAATAACAAGTTCCTTAAGTCTAGACAATAATTTCTACCTTTTTAACAACGTTTTAAAGCGTCCATCATTCTTTATTTAAAATTCAAATTGTTTAAAAAGTTTTAAAAATAAATATCGCAATGGTAAAATAGGTATTGTAAGATATTTCCACGAATTTTCCATAACTAAAGTATTTCAAAGTGTATTTAAAAGGTAGTTCTACTGTGATTAATAATAAATGAGAATTACATCAATAAAATATATTTTTTATCTTAGGTCCCTGCTCAGCGTGGAATATAAGCATTCACGAGTATTCGGAAAGATCAGATGACAAAGCCGGTCCGATATTATACACATTCTGCTCCAGAGAAAAAAATTCAACCAACACACTCCCGTGGCAAACGAATATCGTTGTAATCAAGTATGCAATTTAAATTAAAAAATACAATGTACATTTTTAGTTAATTTAAAACATTTCATTAAATATGATGCTTTCGTACTTTAGGCTAAGAGTAATGACACAGACTCCACCACAATACTACATCAAGTGGAGATCCGACGTCGATCGTGCCAGACTGTCTGGATCGACGGCCCATACAGCCGCTGCTAGTGGATCAATGAAATTTGCAAACAACTGGACAATATTATTACTTACCATCATATTTCTTTACGTAAAACAAATGAAAAACAGTTGAATACTTGTATTATTGCCAATATAAATAAAGCTTTTTTTACCTGCTTAGAATTAAGTGTTAAGGTTTCTACAAATAATTGGACTAAAACGAGTACTTCCGTTTTTGACTGTTAGGGTTTGATTGATTTCGTGCCAAACTCTTAAATAAATATTTTGATTAGTAATTTATGAGTTTATAGTCGTAGATAATCTGATAAATTATTTCCTGAATATTTCCATATCATCTACTGAATGATAAAATTAAAATTAAAATCAAAAATCTACTTGCATCTATCATTTTTTGTTTGTATAATCATTAAACTACGAATACAAATCATTATTCAATCGGTTCTCAATAAAAATTGTATATGTCATATAAATTATTTTTATTCTTATACATTGTTAACATTATATTATATTCACGAATAAAATGTAACATTTTTATTTTACAACTATAATGTATATAGCCAATAGCCATATAGGTTAGGTTAGGTTGCTATTACGATATCATAATTGAAGATCATGAAACCTATTTGGGACCTGCTCTCCTCCAAAAAATATTATGATGCTTAAAGTTTCCAAATATCAATTATAAAATTAATTCAATTAGTATGCTTTTTTTTCAATTTTAAATATGTATTTATCAGGTACTTCTGTTATTCTAGTTTATTATGCAAATTCTTATGAAAGTACCAAATGATTTTTTTAGAATAAAACCAAGTATATTTTATATTTATATTGGTTACATTTTCTGTAAGCACTCATATTTATACATTCATTTTTAAACAGATATTGAGTTTAGAGGTTCAGTTTGACCTCTGCTTAAATTTGAGACCCGACACTGTTACATAAAATAAAAAATAGATTTTACTATACCAAAAGATTTTTATCATTGCCGCGATGGTGATAAAATAATAAAATATAAGAGGTAGCAATACTTCAGGAATATTAATTTTGTTAGATAATTGTAAATCACCTACACTTTTTTGTTTAGATAAAATATTAAACCAACCTTTTTTGTTTTATTATGATTCATGGTACAGCTTCAACTGCTAAGGTTATTAGCTTGAAACAAAAAATGAAAGCATTTGGTTACATAATATAAAACCAACGTTTTATTTTCTATATTAATACAAAATTCTTGAACATTGAAGTGTTACAAATTAAAACTATATTGACGTGAAAAAGAAATAAACACCTTTTATATTTAATAGTTGTAAATACACATGGGCATCTTAGCTTCCTGTATTTTCAGTATGAAAAACGGGAAAATATGCTGTCCCACTATAAATATTAAGGTACTTTTGATGATAACAAATACATACATTAAAACGATATTATTTATGATGTTAAAATTAATGATAATAATTACTTGATTATTACTAACACATTGTTATACATTAAAATAAATTGGCCATTTAAATTTAAGATTTTTAAAATATATAAATGTTTAATATACTGATAGGTGCATGTAGTAGTTATGTACAAGAATAAAGTCCTACAAAAATATTGTTGACGTCAGCCAGCCAAAATTGCACTAACAAAAAGATATTAGCACTTGCTAATTTGATAAAGCCACTTTTATTTGTATATTACGTTAAAATATTAGTTATAAATTATAATATGGTTAGGTTTACAAGTATCCTTTTTATGTTTGGTTTAAATGATTGTGTAAATAATTTTAAATAAAATAATAATCATAATAAATAATTTTATACCATTATTTATTGATTATTAGACAGTTTTTGACTGTTTTATTTTCGTTGAATATCTTATGTAACACAATCTTATGAACGTATTATGTTTATGTTTAATGTATATAATTATTGTTAATGAATTATTTAGGAAATCATAGTAAAATGTTGACTGTTGGGAAATTGTCCAATACTGTTTGGAACTAATTGGCTAATATGTGCAGTGAATACATTGTTCATTAAATAATAAACTAATTTTTATCGCCATAGTATTTTAATTTATCATAATTCTTAATTTGTATTAATATTTAGGAATATTTTACTCGGCTCAAGTACATCTTTTGTGAAAATACTAAATAGCTTACTTTATTGCATACACAGTAATAACTATCATAAATATAAACTTTTTTTTTCCGTTCAAAAACAGGAAACGTGTGAGAACTGTTTAGCACAATACTATCACGCCGGATGATATGTTGAGGAGAAAGCGAACTGAGGCGTCAGCGGATAAACAAGAGGCAGGATGGTGGAGACTATAGGGCTGCCCGAATATGCTTATTTTGTGGGCCGGTGGCCTGCTTGTTCAGGGTGGTTAGAGGTCCCGTCATTTATATAGTTAATTATAATTTGAGTGTATTTTACGAAGAAACGATAAGGGACCATAAGTTTTTAAAGGTACTCAATATTTTTATTTATAATAATAGAGATGACAAAACTAAATAGCTGATCAAAAGTTCTATTTTTAAAATGACCAAAATAAGGTCCACATATTTTTTTTAAATTATCTAACAATTTACAACAAATCGAATTACTGTCAATGTAGTGGAGCATTTATTTCCACCTATTAAAATAATTTACAACAATTTTTTAGGAATGGTCCACTGTTGCCCTACAAATCTGGGAGAACATGTTTAATATAAAAATAAAATCCCATCAAACTGCGAGCATGAACTTGGCTGCACTAAATTTAAATTGACCCTATGTGAAAATAAAGTCGAACGAATTTTGTCTCCAAATAATTAGATGGAAAAGTTTGGATAGTTCTCTGCTAAGTGCTAATGATGCGCTGCGAAGTTTGTAGGGATGAGAAAACCATGCATAATAAAATAATAAAATTGACATAATAATATGGCAATAACAGCATATTCATAACTGGTATAAACATAAAATGTATTTATACAACAGCGACCATTAAGGTAACATGGTTGGAATTATTGAAGTTATGGAGTTATATACAATTACTCTGTTATTTATATGCTATTATTAATCGCTTAAAAAGCCAATGCCTTGTCTTTTATTTTCCCCAAAATCAAAAAGCAATGGTGGAGGACAAAATTATGAAAGATAAATTATGTCTCTCAGAACTACAGTCTACAATATTATAGTAATGAATATTTACGTTTATTTTTTTCGTATGCACCCAACTGCACAAAACCGTAGGATAAAATAACTGCTGTACTGTATATATAGAATTAGGAATACAAGTTAAAAAAAAAAAGGTGCGCAAGTTGGCGGTACCCACACAAGTACCTACTATTGTTGTCAAGTATGTCATTATAATTGATGTATTAAATTTGATGTCAGCAATCATTAGGAAAAATTAATTCTATAAAATAATTAGAAAAAAGCTTTTTATCTTCGAAGAAAATCAAAAATATCCTACTAAATAAATAGCTCAAAATATATTTATAAATTTTATAATCAAATATGGAAAATGGTTATGTTAACATTTGCTAAAAAATGTAAGTACACATCTACAGTTGTTAGTTTTTGAGTAACAGAAAAAAATCGATTTTGTCAAATACCTATTGGTGTTGCTTAAAATTTCCCATTTTTCCTTAATTTAATTGTTTTGTTATTCCCAATACTTTTTAAAACTACTGGGAAACCAACATTTCGGGAGACGAAAGTGGATAATGTACCAATGTTCTCAAAACAAAAATATTCTTCCAATCCATACTTGTGTAGTTGTATAAAATATACTTTTTCAAACATTTAAATCCATGAAAAATAAGGTAATTATTTAAAACTAAATAGATTATTATGATGTGGACCTCTTTGATTGAAAACATTATTTTACTCTTCACTTGGTTTTCATCACGCTTTTAAATGCAAACCATTTTTAAGGAGTAGGATGAAGTAATATTCTACGAGTACATCTATCGTACTTTTCGTATGTAACTGTGCGAGTAGTGACTGATCATTAGTATGCGGAAGATCCCCAAAAGCTTCATTAAATTAAAGCTATACTACGGCTAAGATACTCGGAAATCCGTAATTCACATGCACTCAGTCACATGTCACTATATTTTGTGAAAACAAAAAGTTTCAACTTTTATGTTTATAGAAATTTCAAAAAACGAAAGAAAAATCTACCTAGTACCGAAAGCTCGATCTTAATTTTGAAAACAAATTTGAATTCCTTATTCTCTTCTCCAGGTTTTGAATGCTATGGATTTTTGATTTGTTGAACTGTTAAATTTGTACAGTACCTACTCAATGAATTTTCTTATTTTTGCAAAATCAACAATAACTGTAATGTTACTAAAAAAATAAAATAAAAATTGAATTTCTTACAAATCACCCAAAAAAAACATATTCAAATCTTTTTTTCAAAATAAAAATTGACTTGTGGAAGTACATTTTTTATTCTTTCACCTATTAGTTTAAATGTACCAAAAAACGACCTGCTTTCGAAATCCTCAAAAAAATAATATTGAGAAAACCCATGAACTTCTTCAAAAGGCGAAGAATTAAACTTAATATTTAATAGTTAGCTACAATCAATAACACAAATGTTTATATATGTAATAGAACGGGAAAAGAATCCAAAAATATCTCTATGCCCTATTTCAGTGTATTATAATTCTTCAAAGACGATCTGAAGCCAAAAATTCTTAGTGTTTTATGAGAAAAATACTTAAGCATAATTTAAATATTTAAAATAAATCAAATTTTAAGACTAATGTGGATGATGATGACTCCCCCCACGCCGTGAAACTACGATATACACTAAACACGCAAATGGATGAAACTTGAATTAAATCAAACAAAAAAAACCTATTATATTAAAATACATAACGTGTTTTTTTATCCATGTTGTTATTGACTTTAAATCAAGTGACACAATCTAAAGTACTTATAGCATTTATTTGTATAGACCATAATATTATAGATATAGTGAGCAAAAGACAAACATATAGCAATCAGTTTACGCCACTTTCATATTTAATGAAATTAGGTAGACTAAGTTGCGATACATTACACAAAAATGAACAACTCAATGACTTAATGGCAAAAAAGTTACAAATCAATTTTGATGCAATTGTCATTGAACCTGGAATGGTGTCGAGTTGCTTGTCTTACGTAGGAGCAAACTCAAACTTGCCAATGATATACACAACTCCAGTTCCAATAAATACTTATACGGAACGTATCACCTTTGGTGATATCAGTAACCCAGCAACAGTTTCAACAATGTTATTTCAATCCGCAGTTCCTAAGACTTTCATTCAACGGTTAACTAATACACTTGTTTGGTTGTACACTAGTATAGTGGTAATGTCACAAGAATACTTACTTCAATTATTTGACTCAAAACCTTATGATCTTGGAACTATAAATCCTCCATCATTGGTCTTTATGAACTCTCATTTCATAAGCGATAATCCTAGACCAACTCCATCAAATGTTGTCAATATCGGTGGTATTCATTTAAAACCAACCAAAAAAATACCTAAGGTAATAATTTTATATCATACTTAGAATACAATCTTAAACGATGAGTAAATACCCATCCTTATATTTTGATTATTACTTAATTTTTAATCGAAATAAAATATAAATCTTAAATATGCTAGAAATATAATTTATCTTTTTTTGTCAGTTAGTTTTTCATACATTTAGTATAATTAATGTAGAATATATTTAAACATTTGTATGAAAACAACTAAATAAAAATTCAATTAAAGATTCATGCATTTTAATACTTATGTATGAATATGTATACTGAGTTTTCTTATTTTCATATTTGTAAAATCAATAATATAGTTACAGATCTTACAAACATTATGTATATTCAATAGAATTGAACTAATTATATTAAAATTTCAAGTCAAGTTCTTCAGAATATGAAATAATAATTTTTTTAGATTTTTTAGCGAATGAGCGTATTGTATTTACAATGATGTGCGTCTTTTTTCTGCCTGTTATCAACATTTGGGGTACTTAAGATGCTCTGATTTTCAACATCATCATCTTTTCTGATAGAAAAGTGAAACTAATTGATAATTTTAAAATTGAATTTGAAAGTCTTAGAAGTTTTAGAAAGCTTCGGGAAATAAAAAAAGTGGTAATTTTCAGGCTAAACAAATTTTTGAAAAAACCAATTTAATTTTCTTAGTGTAATTCAACAATTTATAATAATAATGATAATAATATTGTTTATTACGGAATAATTAAATTCCAATTACAATATATAAGAGAGTTACTTGAGAACTGTTATAACTGTAAATATTCGTAATTTACACAAAATAATTATAACAGAATTTTCTATGAACATTGCTTATTCTTTTTGCACTACTTAAAAACATATTCATATTTTGTAAATTATTTTCCAGTTAAATGCCTTATTTATGATTAAAATATAAATACAATTTTTAATTATTTGAATAAATATAACTTATAAAATGTATTTATGATTTTTAAATCAGTTCATTCTCAAACAATGAAAATATATGAGTTTTGCCAACAGACATCAGAGTTAAATATTGAAATGACAAATATAATAAATGATTTCAGAAATATTAAATTTTGGTAGTTTAAAATTAGAATATTAATTGTGTTGCATCATTTTATCATAAAATACTTAAAATCAGTAATTTCTAAACATAATGCTCTTTTATTTTATGTGTAACAAATTAATTTTTTTATTTAAATGCACTTAGTAAATAACTCATTTAATTATATTAAGAATAAAATAATTGAATTGTTTTTACAAATAAAACTATTGATTTTAGGATATATTGGATTTTATTGAAAACTCACCAGATGGAGTTATTTTATTCACATTTGGTTCAACCATTGCGATGTCTTCAGTACCATACAATATATTAACTGCATTAAAGGAAGCATTTGCTGAACTTCCACAAAGAATCTTATTAAAATACGAGGGTGAAATGGAAGATAAACCTAAAAATGTCATGACACTAAAATGGATACCTCAACGAGATATTCTTTGTGAGATATTCCAATAAAACAAATATAGATAACTTATTTGATAAATTATTAATACTTTTTAAATATTTACAGTGCACAGAAATGTTAAGCTCTTCATCAGTCACGGTGGAATATCTGGATTGTATGAAGCTGTAGATGCTGGAGTCCCAGTGTTAGGATTTCCATTATTCGGTGATCAGTGTAGGAACATAGATAATTTAGTTAAGGCAGGCATGGCTAAATCTATGGAATTATATTCAGTAACTAAAAACAATTTCTTGAATAATGTATTGGATCTTGTTAACAATAAAAAGTAAATGTTTATTGAAGACTTACACTCTTATTAGTGTTTTTAAGATTATGTTTTTTTTTTAGATTCACACACAATGCCAAAATTGCTTCAGAAATTTTTAAAGACCGACCAATGTCACCGGAAAAGTCTGTTGCTTACTGGACAGAATATGTTATTCGTCATAAAGGAGCACCACATCTAAAATCACAAGCTCTTAATTTAACGTGGTACCAATACTTTTTATTGGATGTAATCGTTGTAATTCTTATATTCATTTTGGTTTTTATACTAATTGTTTTACAATTCTTTAAATTTATTCGTTTAATTTACACAAAGATATGTTCATCATCCTCTAAAGTAAAATCTGATTAATGTATTATTTAATTAACTATGGTTAATAATGTATTTATTTATTTTAACTTAATCTATGGTATTATATTTTTTACAATATTAATACTACTTATTTGTATAATTTATTATGTATGTACTATGTATGTATGATGTATTTATGTACTAAAAATGTTTCCTTTTTTTTAAATTGGAATAATAAGCCTACTTACTTTGTATGTACGTCACATAATTTCTTCTTTTGTTATTTCGACATATCATGTATTTTTGGTAAAAAAAGTATAATGGATAAACTAAATGTGCCCAATGTAACATGGTAAAACTAATACTTTTTATGAGATATAATCGATGTGTATTAATTCCCGAGCTATGCGAAGAATGTATTGATTTTACTATTTCACAACAGTGTTTGGACAAAAGTGCACTCACTTGTTCGATTGCTAAGAAACTGGACAAGTGTTCACAACTAAGTACCGAATAAAAGTGAAATAGCATGATTGCTCATAAAATGTGTAGGTGAATGAAGTGAGGTCTTCATCATAATGTAGATATCAATTATATAATTATATAAACCATTATCCTAGACAACGGTTGAAATTTCACCTTACTTCGTTCTGAGTTGTTACATTTACTATTTTTTTTTTTAGTTTTTATTGTTACTTTAAATTAGTATTATTTTTTCACACGTTTGAATCTATCTTTTCTCTTAAATGTGGCACTAATTTTATGATCAATTAATTAAGTTAATAAATTATTTGGATAGATTATTTATATTATTAAATCACGTATATATTAACCTTAACTACACACTTAAGTGAGTGTGATATTAAAATTTAGATAGAATAAAAATAAACTAATAACCATAATTGTGAAGAGTACATTCCATAAAGAAAGAAACATTAAATCAGACATTACTGACCGGAGTTCTGCTATCTCCCAGCTTGATACAACTGTAGGCTGTAGCGTGTTCCAACGCACAGGTGCCGTTGATAGGACAGGATGAAGTGTAGATGTAAATAATTACAAAATAATACAAGAATTTGCACTTAATAGTTTTTTCTCTATGCATATATTACATATAATGGTTCACAAGAGACGTCCAATTCAATTTTAGTTCTCCGTCATTACAGGCTAAAGTGTATACTCTACACTATAAAGATGACATTTTTTAAATATTGTATTGCATTTTACATTACATTATTACAATGATTGTTATAAGCATATTTTAACTACAATATTATCATTAGAATTATGAACTAATTTCTAAATAGGCATCGACAAATGACAACACGCTTATACTCAAAGAATTAGACAACCAAATCAATGAAGTAATAGACTATAAATACCAATAACACTCTTACGATAATAATATTTATTTATCATTTTACAACCTACACTATTGAAAAAAGACATATTCTCAAGAACCTATATGTTTTTTAAAAGATACGCTATATATGATTTTATAAAAATAAAGATGATCAAACTAATTGCTTAATCGAGATTAAAATTTGTCAAATAGCCATAATAACTGCAAAAAAATTTTTTTTAAATATCTAAAAGTTTACAACAAATAGAATTACTGCCAACGTATAGTAGCGCATTTTAACATTTTTCCGTCTACCAAAATAATGTACAACACCTTTTTTTAAGGGTCCGCCGCAATCAAACAAATTGGGAAAAACTTGCTTGATAGTATAAAAATAATATCCAATCAAACTGCATGTTAGTTTGTACTGCAAGCTTAAACTTGGCTGCACCAAAGTTCAAATCAGGCGAAAATAAAGTCCAACAAATTTTGTTTGCAGCAATTATTTACCAACATTCACTAGCGATTCACTTTTTGAACTTATCGAGCAACATTATTATAACTTCAGACTTCATAGTTAGATTCTTATGAGAATATACAAGTATATGAGTATATAATATGAGTAACAAACGGATGTAGTCTGAACACGTAGGTACTTAGATTTTAAAGGAGAAGGATCTGCGCTTAAAATGTTAATTTTTTTGAACTTAGGTGCCACCGACACTTGTTGAATGTCATAATCACATATATTTTAGTTATTTTTAAATTTCGCAATAGAAGGATTTCCGAGAGAATTTCAAAACTATGTTTAGGGCGAATGAAAGTTACATTTTTGTAAAAAAAAATTTTAAAAATGTTTGTTTTAACTAGGAAAGGGATTGAAAATAGTTTTTCGATCTCCATTTAAGTCACTTGGATTCTGGAGGAGATAAAGAGTGCATTCAACTTTATGAATGGTCACATCGAAAAGTTCGCGAATCGCGTATTTAAGACCAATGCATTATAGCATATATTTATAAAGAGACAAACGATATACACCTATGGCCATATAACAACATGAACTTAATATATTAGGCAGATATTGGGTAACATAATGCAAGCACATTTGTATAAAATACATATATTGTACTTAACCTTATAATATTATATACGGTATGTGATCACGATAAGTGGAAACACTCAATAACTCAGGATATACTCAATATATTTGAGTTGTGTTTTTTGGCTAACTAATTAACATAATTATACACACTTTCAAACTATTTCTGTAACACTTAATATTGTGCATGCACATAATAACTTTTGTTTTTTTAAACATAGTCCATTTTTGACCACGAATAATTTTTCTCTGTATTTTTAATGAATTTAAGTGGTTGAATTTCTTTTTCAAGTTAAAAAATAGCGGAATAATAGAAACCGCATGTATTTAATGGTTAGTTATTATTTATTATTACTTTTTCTATCAAATTAATAAACATTGATATTTTTATTTGTAAGATCTTTATTTATTTTAAAAACTGTTCGAATTGTGCCCTATTGTGCTGTAAACAACATTGTACCTATACGTTTTAAAAATTCACAACTAGTAGCAGATATAATTTGTTCCACGATAACTTGATTACATACTACGGCTATTTTATTTTTTAAATAAAAAATAACATAAGTGGACCGGCGTACAAAACGGTTTTCAAGTCCACCTATGTTCTTTTTGATTTAAAAAATAAAATAGCCTCAGTATGTAATCAAGTTACCGTGGAACAAATTACATCTGCCACTAATCGCGAATTTTTAAAATACATTTAACAAAATGGGCCATTGGGCCATGCCATTTACAAAAAAGTTATTATTCACATGCGCAAATTTAAGCGTCACAAAAATAGTTTGATTTTTTGAAAAACACTACTCAAATATATTGAGTATATGCTGATTTATTGAGTGTTTCCACTTATCGTGATCACACTGTATACATTATTTAAACGTAATTTGTTCAAAGAAAATGAATACTTTATTTTTAAGATCTGACCACTAATATCGCATTATATTAACATAATACATCCTAGGGATATCAAAAATAAAATACATTGCAATTTATGATGCATTATTGTAAAAAATAAAAACAAATTACAATATATATATAAACTATTTAAATTATCATAAAATAAAGTTTATTTAATTAATATTTTAAAATATTATACTCTTAAAGCCTTGTTAACTTGAAGTACTAATACTTAAAGTATTAACTAATAATAATCAGGCTTCCGGTAAATCGATAAACAATACCTGTTATTGTAGTTGTAAATAAATGTGCGTTATCTATAATACTTATATCATATTTATAATTGGACACTTATATAACTATGAGTTAGTGTATAAACAGCAAGTGGATGGATAAAATACGAATATTTTATTAACAACCGCCAACCGTTATAATTCACATATCTACAATACATTGTTGAAATAAATCTTGAAAACAAAAATGTCAAACAAATCAATAGTTTCAATCATAATTTTTTCATTATTCAGTTGTTCATGTATTCAACCGGGAAATGGTGCGAGAATATTAGCTATAGAGTCATTTGCAGGCAGGAGTCATTGGAATTTTGTGAGCGCTGTGCTTCGGGCAATGACGGATAATGGACACAATGTTACAGTTTTCACGCCATTCCTTGACGGTAATCGTGAAAATTATACAGAAATAGACATGTCTAGTATGTTCCCAATAAAAGTTGGTATGAGCATAGTGGATATGAGGGCAATATTTAGCAATCAGTTTAAGCCCCTTTCATTTATGCTAGAATTAGCTAGACTTAGTTGCGATATATTACAAAAAAATGAACAGCTCAATGATATTTTAAAAAACAAATTGCAAACCGATTTTGATGCCATCCTCTTCGAGCCTACAATAGTGTCAGGTTGCTTAACGCACCTGGGAGCAAACTCGAGTTTGCCAGTGATACACGCGAGTGCAATTCCAATTAATACTTACACAGAACGTATCACCTATGGCGATGTCAGTAACCCAGCAACGGTAACAATAATGACATTTCAAACTGCTGTTCCTAAGACGTTCATTCAACGGTTAATTAATACAATTGCTTGGTTGTACACCAGCATAATAATTGGTTTTCAAGAATTCTTACTCCAATTATTCGAATCAAAACCTTTTGACTTAGCAACCACAAAACCTCCGTCATTGGTCTTTATGAACACTCATTTCATAAGTGATAAGCCTAGACCAACTCCATTGAATGTTGTGAATGTAGGTGGTATTCATTTAAAACCACCCAAAAAAATACCTAAGGTAGGTAATAATTTTATATCATATTTATAATACAATCATAAACAATAAGGACCTATCCGTATATTTTGATTATTATTTAATTGTTAATCAAAATGAAATAAAAACATTTTCATAATATGAATACTTATTTTTCTCAATTTTAACAAGTTTATTTTTCTGTTTGTATGCACCTTTTGCCAATATAAAAGTAGCTTAAATATTTTTTAATAAATCGCATGTATTAAATGTTACCTATTGCTTTTAGGATATATTAGAGTTTATTGAAGACGCACCACATGGAGTAGTTGTATTTACATTTGGTTCAACTACTTCAATGACTACACTTCCAAAAAATATTCTAACTGCATTTAAAGAAGCATTAGCTGAACTTCCTCAGAAAGTTTTGTTGAAATATGAAGAAGAAATGAAAGATAAGCCTAAAAATGTCATGACAATAAAATGGTTACCTCAACGAGATATTCTTTGTAAGATATTCCAATAATACAAATGTCGATAACTTATTTAATAAATTATTAATACTTTTTAATGATTTACAGTGCACAGAAATATTAAACTCTTCGTCAGTCACGGTGGAATATCTGGATTGTACGAGGCAGTAGATGCTGGAGTCCCAGTATTGGGATTTCCATTATTCGGTGATCAGTATAGGAACATAGATAATTTAGTCGAGGCAGGCATGGCTAAATCTATGGAATTATATTCAGTAACTAAAGACAATTTCTTGAATAATGTATTGGATCTTGTTAACAATGAAAAGTAAATGTTTATTGAAGACTTACACTTTTATTGGTATTTTTTTTAAATCATGTCTTTTTTTTAGATACTCACACAATGCTAAAATTGCTTCAGAAATATTTAAAGACCGACCAATGTCACCGGAAAAGTCTGTTGCCTACTGGACAGAGTATGTCATTCGTCACAAAGGAGCACCGCACCTAAAATCTCAAGCTCTTAATTTAACGTGGTATCAATACTTTTTATTGGATATAATTGTTGTAATTCTTATATTCATTTTCATTATTATACTAATTGTTTTAAAATTCTTTAAATTTGTTCGTACATTTTACACAAAGATATGTTCGTCATTCTCTAAAGTAAAATCTGATTAATGTATTTTTTAATTACCCATAATTAATAATGTATTAATTTACTTTAACTTAATGATGATACTGTATTATTCTTATAATTATTATAATATTACGTTTATTTGTATAATGTATATTAATATGTATCTATGAATGTATCTATGTAATAAAATATGTTTCGTAATTCCAAATTACAATATTAAGTCTGTTTAATTTGAATACTTACGTCTCATTTTTTGTTATTTTGTTATTACATAACTTACAAAATTTACTAAATAATTTAACGTGAAATTAATACTTTATATGACGTATAATCATTGAATTTTTGATTTTGAGATGTAATCTACACGACAAAAAAAATATGGAAAAGTTATAATATTTTAAGAAACTGCAGTTCTTTGACGTAGGTAATAACTTAAAAATGAATAAATAGAAGTCTTGACATTTTTCAAAAATTTTTAAATTATTTTAACACTTAGAAAACTATGCAATTTGACAGATTTTTTAAGGACGATCAATCATTTTTCGATGTGAACAATTTTTTGATACAAGGTACATAAAACAGACTTGGCCCCACTTTAAGTGGGGTATCTCTGTAAGAATTGGGTCTTGAAAGTTGAATTGTAGTATTTTCTTCTGAATTATATCCATTATATATGACTATCACTCGTTGGGCTGCTTGGAAATTTTACAAGTGTTAACTGTCAAGCAATAGAAATAATGAAATTGTTCTTGTTTTTACTATGCACTGGAATTCTGAGGGATTATGTCTGCTTGGATTCTCTAAACTTGTTTAAAACAGTTGGAATATAATAAAAATATAATAGTATTCAATTAATACGGCTAGTACCTACTACCTACCATATAAAAAATATACTAGGTGACTAGTGAAATTTTCTCTCGCTACAGCCTACGAGTTGCCACTATTATTGTTTGTTTATTTTTTAGATTTCTATAGTTCTTTATTATTATTATTTGTATAATTGTTTCGCCCGTTTAGAACTCTCCTCTCTAAAGTGCAACTGGTTTTAAGAATATTCCTATTTTCAAGTTATTATACATAATTTTTTTTTCATTTTATTAAGTTTAATTTTTGCTTAAACATTTTAAAACTACAATATGTCTGTTTTATTTATAAGCTGCATAATACTTCTTATATATTCTCAAAGGCCAATTCTACGAACTTTCTAGGTTCGTTTGTCGTTTATTGTGTATCTCTATCTTTTATTCACTATGGAAAATAGAAAAATGACAAAATATAATTTCGCGAATTTGCAAGTTGTATAACGGATAGTAGATATGTATGAAAGCTAATATCTAAAAAAATATTTCAAACAAATAATGTTTCTTAAGTGTATCAATGACGTATTGTTGTATTACTTAAGTAGTACCTATTTTAAATATATTTTCATACATTAGTTGAATATAGTAATGAGTAACTACAAACATTTTGAGATCTGATTCATATATATAAATTTATATACGTTAAAATTTAATATTGTTTAACTAATAGAACAACAAAACTAAACACGAAAATTGAAAAATCCGACACCAGTAACCAATAACCAAAAGCATGTATCTATCATATAATCAAAATGTCTAAAAGATATATTTTTACAAAATTTTAATACATTAAGTAGACACCTGTAACTACTTATGTTCGACTACGAAACAATTAAAAACAATAGACAATTATAAGAATATCTTTAAATCTTATAATAAGTTCTTAGTAAATAAAAATATTTTTTAAATCAGAATAGTGTATGCTAAAACCTCGACACAGGTTAATTGAGAGTAATAGTATTATTAAATTTGAAATCAATAATAAAACATAACAAATAAAAATAAAAAAACTCATCGGTTCATTATCGGGGACTGATTAAAACCTCATTTTTTTACTTATTCTTAACGTTTATATACAATTGCCATTAGTATAATCAACGGTTTTACGTTAAAACCTATATTCGATTTTTGAAGGCATTATACAACACTATTAAATATTTAAATACACCATTTCAAAAATATTTAGTGTTTATAACAAATATAACGAATTATTATACCATAATAATTGTTTTCACTTTATTAATACCGAAAAAATATAAACGAAATTTCTTAAGCTAGAGAAAATAAAACTAATTGTATTCAAAAAATAAATTTACAATTTACAATCATTTAATAATATTATGATACTACCTACTCAAGTTATTCTAACTTTGGTCTGATAGTTTGTGAACATTTTAAAAAGAAGTAAGAATACATAATTTTAAAAAGTTTGTAAGTAATGAAAATAGCAAAGGAAATAAAAATAAATATCACAAAAATAACATCCAATAAAAAGTATTGATACCACGTCAAATTAAGAGCGTGAGATTTTAAATGTGGTGCACCTTTATGACGAATTACGTACTCTGTCCAGTAAACAACTAATTCTGCCGGTGACATTGGTCGGTCTTTAAATCTATCAGAAACTATTTTAGCATTCTTCGTATACCTATAATAAAATAATATATTAATACAATTAATTTGGTATTTAATGTTTTTTCAAATGCTAACATACTTTTCGTTATTAATGAGATCTAAAATATTTTTTAACAATTCATCTTTTTGTAATGTTAAAAGATCCATAGAAATCGCCATTCCTGCTTCAACTAAATTATCAATGTTTCTAGGTTGATCGTAGAAGAGAGGGAATCCAAGAACAGGAACACCTGCATCTACAGCTTCATATACACCCGATATACCTCCGTGACTAATGAATAATTTGACGTTTGGATGCACTAGGGAATAAAGTTGAATTTACTTTATAATAATTATATTTTTATAAAAATTTCTTACTGAGTATATCACGCTGAGGAAACCATTTACTTGTCATTACATTTATTGGTTTATCTTTCATTTCTCCTTCGTATTTCCATAATACCCTCAGAGGTACTTGTGCTAAAGCTTCTTTAAATGCTTTGAGAACACGGTCTGGTAAAGTTGACATTGATATGACTGAGCCAAACGTAAAATAAATTACTCCATGTGGTGAATTCTCAATAAACTCCAGTACATCCTTAAATTAATAAAAAAAAAGTGATCAATTTTATAATAGTAATAGTATAATATTATCATAAATCAACTATTAATAATATTATTATCATTTTATGATTATATTTGAATGGTTTATTTAAAAATTATAATTTATAAAAGTTAGGATCCTACATCAAAACATAATTTTCCTTAGTTAGATATCTTTTTTTTTTTTTAATACCTAATTGTTAATAATATATAGAAAATAATTTATAACGTTTTTATTACTTCCATCGTCAAATAAAATCTTTAACAATAAATTTAAAATGTTATTGATCTTCTAAAAAAAATTGATAAAATATAATCAAAATAAAAAAATATATTATTGTCTTAACCAATATTCACAATTTTTAGACTCTAATCAGAGAGGTGAATGTATTAGTTTTATAGTGATTGAATGATGTGTAATTTTTTTTGTGTGCGTGACATCACCTCAAGGAATCACAAAGTGCTTTAATTTTCGATTTTTTAGGGTGGTTTCTAGTATCAAATTGAATCTGGTTGGTCCCTTGGGGGCCATGGGAATATTCCCAATACTTTTCAAAATAATTCAGCAATACGATCCAAATGAAAAACAAGAATGTTCACTCAAAATCTATTCTGTTTTTTTTTATTGTAATTCACACTGCGGCAGACTTGAAATTCAATTAAATAAAATAGTTTTGTGATAATATTCATTATTTAGGAATCCTATAACGGACGATCTATAGTTGACTTGTTTAGTTAATCGTGTACTTTTTATAACCTATCTACTTATATTACTTTTTTTGCGCATAAATCTAAAAACATACTAACTATTTTTTTGTTGAAGTTTTTATCATGTTATATAGTATCGTTGATTATAAAGTTTTTAAATTATTATTATACTGATGGTTTTCACAATATTATAATATTTATATCTTAACTATAACAAATTCGTCAATATAACTTTTGTACATTAATTAACTTATCTAGTCCTAATTTACTTAAAAATTATAAATTAGTAAAAAAATAATAAATGTCTTGTTAGTAAATAGTCGAAACAAAATGAAAAAAAAACCGTCAATGATGTATAATCAACTCAAGTGGAAAAATAAAATCTACTATAATTTGTGTGTTACGGCGAAGCATGTTGCTAATACGACAGTAAACATTTTTATTCTATTTACCTATCTAATATTATTAAAACAAACTGAATCATTGGAATTTAGAAGAAGGCTATTAATAAAATTGTTAGTTAAAATACGATTTCATATTATATTATTATCATTATAATAAGTTGGTATACATTCGGAATATTCTGCACAGCTTTCAAATGGATGCCACCCACAGAAACAAAATAAAAAAATTAGGTCTCGATGCTTCAGTAATATAATGAGTGTTTACAAACATCGCAGAAGGTAGTACAGGCTCAGGAACGTCATACGGTTTCGGTTCTCTGTACTTAAACAGAAAATCGGAGTAACTGAATGTCAATATGCTGTACGTCAACAAAGCAGTAGTAGAAAATCGTTGTACGAACGTTTTAGGAACACTGTAGTCAGCCATAAAATTTGAAGCTGACGCGGTATTAGGCATATGTCCGAGGTAAATATACTCCAAAAAGGTGAATATCGTCTGCGGTACTACGTATATTATAGGCAAATTCAATTTGGTGGCCACATATGATTCACAGTCCAACCAGATGGGTTCGATAAGGATCACATCAAAATCGGTATGAACGAAGCCTTCCAAAATATCTTTAAATCGTTCGTTTCCGTGAATAATATCGCAATAAGATCTCGCTATACCTGGACCGAACCATAACATTTTGATTGGATCGCCGAACACCTTCATCATATCCGTGAAGGCTAATCCACTGTTTTTTGGTAAATCATCGGACGTGTCGATTTCTGTATAGTTTTCACGGTTGCCTTCTGTGACTGGTGTAAACACAGTGACATGATGTCTTTTATCCGTCAATGATCGTAGTACTGAGCTGAAAAAGTTCCAGTGGCTTTTGCCTACAACCATTTCTATCGCTAAAATGTTTGCACTTTCTACCACTTGCATCCGTGGTCCGTGAAACGTTGAAAATATTAAAAAAACAATCAACAAATATAACGATCTTACAGCGCAGTCCATAATAATAAATAAGGACTACTCAAGATTGTTATATAGAATCCTATTTAGATTGTTTGTTAAGAATTATTGTACAAAGTAATTAATATATGATGTTTGAACGCTGATTTTCAACAGATTAATAAATATTTTGTACTAAGACACTAAATTCATACAGTAGGTAAAATTAAAAATGTTTGTTCACTTATTAACATAATTTCCAATCCAATAATATTATGATAGGTACCTAGTCATTGTTAGGTATTAAATGTGCTACCTACATCATTTAAATGTAATCAGAAACATTACACAGTTTTAAAGCTACTAAGTGAACATAATATATTATTATTAACTGCATAGATATTAAATTATTACGTTATCTAAAGCTAAAGAGCAAATCATTTACAAGATTACAAATTTAATAGGAAATTGCCATTTTTTCTTAAAAATGAAACATACCTATTTCATCAATTTATGCCACACTTATATTAGTTATGCTTACAAACAAATAATCGATATATATTTTTTAAAAGTGTGGATTTTGTACTAATAAATAAATAATTAGTAATTATTAAGACTCAGATTCGAATTAGCATTCAACACATTAAAAGTAATATAACACCAAAAATTGCATATGAAAATTGACCTCTATAAAAAAATTGTTTGCTATATCATATTGTTATCATAATTCATAAATATTTATTGCTTAAAATCAACACAACTGGCTAATTGGTTTTGATTATTTTTATTTAAATGTTGATTGTCACTACCAAACTATACAATATAGGCATAGGCGGTACTACAGTGGGAGGGAGGCAGAATAGTTAACTGCCCCTCCTGCCGACCGTGCCTGTATTAATACATAGTTCCTTGAATCTCGGTTTTCTAACTCTAAAAAGATATATTATTATTGTATTTTCAATACGAAATTCGTTGCTGTAACATGCACGGGCTCACAAGCATAGATAATGAATAGACGAAAAAAAGACCAAAGAAAAAGGACCCACCGAAAAAAAAATAAAATATAAATATGAACACATGTACCTATCCTCATGTCTCACACTCCTAATTAGTGATTACCTTGTGGCGTGTACCTATTACAAAATATAATATATTATAATGAAAATAATGTTATAAATTATTATCATGTGCAATTTTTGTATAAATGTAGTGTATGTATACCCAAGATATTATACGTCTTGCACCCCTGCTGTTTTTTGACTTATAACTTAACACTGTATAATATTATGTATGTATGAGTTTAAATGTATGTTTAAGTTTTTTTTTCTATTAAGAGTGGTTTTTATATACAATTAATAGTTAAGCATAAGCCATATTCAGACATAAAATTATTTTATATTTGAAAATGTTCATTGAATAAATAAGTAAAAAAAGTTTCTTATTAATTTATTAAGTCTTCGCATATAACATTGATTATATGAGCTATGATAATTTATGAATTATTAATTACTAATTAAAAGTAGAATAGAAGTACATGTGTTCACATTTAAGTTTAATTTTTTTTCTGGGCTTTTTTTCCGTGGACTTTTTTACCACCTACCAAATTAATTGTATTAAATAATTTAGGTGACAATGATCCAGATGATCAAGGACACATGGAGTTATAAGATAATTAAATAAATAAATTCATGTTATTTTTTTAATAATAGGTATATTCGGTACTAGCCTAAAAATATGGACTATTTAGTTATATTAACAGTTAAAATATTTTCTGCCCTCCACCCTGCCAAGAGTATCTAGTACCACCTATGAATATAGGTACATGGCAAATAGTAATAGATAACCATATAAGTGTCTTAGGAAAATAAAAAAATTTCATTCACTATAAGCTATATAGTCAAGTTATAATAAAAATATTGAATACATTTCTTTAAAAATTAATACTCCAAATTAAAAATAATTGTTGTTCTAGTCTGTTTCAATATAATGCAAACAACAGTCATACATAACATACATACTGAAACTGGTTGAATCAAATCTCCAACGTATTATTTTTTAATGAAAATAAATATATGCTAAGACTAGTAAAACTGTAGTTGAAAATAGTATTCCTATTTTTACAACGCTGAATTAACGTAAAGGCAATATTCTCAAGCATAGGTAATTTCTTATAGTTCTATATTTTGAAATAAGTCAATAATTTATAAAGTCCAGTAGTCCACTATCTTAACCGAAATATATGATTTCGTTTGTATTGAATTGTATTGAAAATTTACCTAATTGCTTAACACAATTGGTTTTGTAAGTTAAGAATAGATAATAATAGTATATTTATATCTATCTCCGTTATTGCGTATTTGTGTCTTAACAATAAGGTTTAAGACATTTATAAAAAGTAACAACTATTATCATTTGTCATAAATTACTAATCAGTATCAACTACTGATAATCAGTTAAAATTAATGATCAAGTCGCCCTTCAACTGAATTTGGGTTTTTTGTTTTAACTTTGGTTGATTTGCACAATTTCACTTTATGTCATGAACATTGTCGAATTGTATGTCTCAGAGTCTAACAAAAATTTAGGGTTTTGAGGCACAGATTATTACTTTATTTAAGCTAAATAAGTCGATTTTCCTGAATCTGGCCCTAATTCCTATTTGTTTATATTTTAAATCCTATCACTTACATACAACATGTTCTATTGTACTCTTAAGATATACCTACTAGGTGTATACTGATAATTGCTATAACCTATTTAGTATAACTATATAGGCTTGGAGTATCTAATTATTTGAAAATGGCTTAAAAAAAATGTGCATCGATAACTTAAAAACTGAAATGACACGCGCCTGAGGTATAGGTAACACATAAACTTGTGAACAATTTTACTATACCAGTTTATTTACTCACATTTGGTATGCCTTTTGGTTCACTCAGATGTATCCCTCCAATTTGTATAAAACTTGCAGGAAAAGGTCTTGGTGCCTCGGTAATGTAATGTGTGTTCATGAACACTAATGACGGTTTTATAGGTTCTACCAGATCATATGGTTGTGAATCAATTTTTTTCAATTCCATTTCTTTATATTTTAACATCAGTAAACTAAAACCTAAAAGTATGACATTTACAAATCTTTGAGCAAATGTTCTAGGTACTGCGTGGTGAGCAAACAGATGGGACACTGTGGCTGGATTTGATACGTCTCCGAATACAGTATGCTCGATGTAGGTGATCATTGGCGAAGGAATTACGTATATCAGTGGCAAGTCCAGCTTCGAAGCTATATGCGATGCACATTCCGATGCAGCTATTTCAGTGAAAATAATATCATAATTTGCAGATTTACCACTGTCTACGATTTCTAGCATTTCCCGTTGTTCATATGCGATCTTGCAAAAGGATCGAGTCATATTCATGAGTAGAGGGATCATCACAGTCGATTTCCCAAATGTGTTCAACGTGTATTCAGCATCCATTTCGACTTTCGATGGTAAATCCAAGAATACTTCTGTATAGTTATCCCGATTGCCATCGGGAAATGGAGTAAATACGGTAACATTATGACCGATGTCCGTCAAAGATCGGAGAACTGCACTCATAAAATTCCAATGACTTTTACCGGCAATACTTTCAATTGCGAGGATTTGCAATGCATCAATAGATGCATATGTCATCGAAACAGTAAGAATGCAAAACACTGATAACATAATAGTACAAAGCAACGTGCTCATTGTTACGGCTACTTCGAAAATACTAAATATTATAAAAGCTAAAATACAAACGTGTTAAAAATTATTTATTCCACTGTTGCGGTATTTTTTCCTTTCTAGTGCTAATTACATAATAAATAAGCATACAGTGGGGTTTTTTTTCGAGGTTATCGCAAATTACATAAATCTTAAAGATAATTATTTAATCACTTAAAATATAATACAGCACCTAATCGCGATACCTACCCAAAATTAGTATGGATTCTATAGACAATTATGACTATTTCTCATTAATATATTTTATCTATGTTCATATACGCTATGTAAATATTTTTAATTATAAAAAATTTCTATTTCTAATTAATGTAATTTATGTTTGTACTGCATATTATAATACTAGTATGTAGTGTGCTGTGTGTACAATAACGTATATTCAAGGTTGGGCAAGTTAATGATAATAATTAATAGTTAGAAGTTAAGCAAATTAGATTAAATTCCCTTCAGTTAATAGGTAGTTAAAAGTTAACAAAAAAATTTAACTTGATAAGTTTATAGTTAAATAGAAAATAAAATTAACTTAACTTAGTTAAGAAAAAAATGTGCCGTCGGGGAACGCTTGACAAATGTGAAACATAAATTTTTTTATAGAAAATATGCATAAAAATGAATGTATGGTTTACTAAAAGAAATAAACAATGCATAATCAAAAACAAAATATTCAGAGTTTTTAAGAAAAATTATAAATTATTTTAAAGATGCATTAGATGATGTTGCACATCAAAAAAAATCAACTTTTTTTCAACCTCATGCAACAATTTAAAAAAAAATTATGTTTGTATTTTGAATCCTGCAATGCGAAGATTTTGCAATTATACTATCTAACTTAATTGATTAAATTTCAAATACTTAAATATTTAATGTAACTGATATTTTACTTCACATACTATTATTAATATTAATATCTATGTTTAGCTTAATCACTTTACTATAGTCCTTTAATTTTTGTAAATAAAATTAATAATAGTTATTATTATACCAGTAAAAGTTATTTATGTAAAATGTACATACAATTAGAAAAACATCATATTAAAATGTACTAACTTGAAGTATAAAGTTACAACGCCCATGATTTGTACATTGTTTATTTTTGACGAATGGTGAAAATGTATCCAACGTGAATAAAAATTGTACATATATATTAAATAGTATATTCTTATATAATTAAAAATTATAAAATTATGACGAATCTATTTTTTTTTTTTTTGGCATTAAAGTATATTTACATAATTGTAACAAGGCGGTTAGTCATCTATATGAATAAATAAGAATAATACAATTTGAACGTTGCTCAATCGTTATAAGTAATATAAGTTCTCCGGATGACCCAGTGACCTAGCTATTAAGGTACCTTGCTAAAAATAAAATAAGAAACTTTTTAACTGAATTAAATTTAATATTAACTTTCAACTTTTGGAGTTAAATATTATATTGTTTGTAGCTATAAACGTATAACTTAACGTAGGCCTAACTAATTATAGATTTATTTTAATAATCTACTAGGTGTCCTTACATTTGCGTATATGTATGTGCATAATTCAAAAACCAATATAAGTATTTAACTGTTAACTTCAGTAAAAAATTGCCATTGAATGCCATAACAATCGTTTTAAAATTGAATATGAGTAGGTATATTATCTAACATATTATTTTTTTATTAAATTAATTATCCTGCGGCCACATAGTCCAATGGGAGCTATTAGCTATTTAAGGAGTAGTGGGAGGGGTGGCACGATTTTTGGAAACTCGTATACTTGTGGCAAGGTTTTTGCCAATGAACTAGGAGCAGTGGACGGTTGCGTACTCTCAATCACGTTACGTGACTGTTGCAATCGCGACACGCCAAGCCATCTAACATATTATTATATTTACTTCCACCTTCCACTAACAAGCGATAACTTACTACTCTGTGTATAAATAACCTAGCTATAGTTATAGGCACTAGTATTTGGAAGACAATAATATAATATACTCAAGCAGTTATGTATAATTTATGTGTTTAAGTTTAATATTCATTCAGTATAGGGTATATGTTACTAAACTTATTCTGCACTTCTCGTTGAAAAAAGAAATCATTACACCTTTAAACATTCGTTTGTGTTTAATAATAAGTAACACGATAACATACTTCAGATAAAGTCTTTGTAAGTCGGATAAGATGTAAACCACCAATTGGTATACAATTTGATGGCACGGGTCTGGATTGTTCGATAATGTAATATTAGTTAGATGGATAAACCTCTGAACAAATCTCCTGAGAACTGAATGCTGACTTAGTACATGTGATACAACTGCTGGATTTGGTAAATGTCCAAATAATATTGATTCTACAAACGTTAACATTGGCGATGGAATAAGGTACACTACAGGAATTCGGAGTATTCATGCTATGTGCGGCACACTGGCACACACTCAGTGACCATCGGTTGGTTCGATACGAAAAACCTCGAAATCCGAAATATTTCTAAAAATTAAGATATTATTTATGTCATTGTTATTGTAGGTACATATCGTTACAACGATTTCTTGTAATATTAACGGTTTGGTGTGGTATATAAACGATATGGTCGAACTAAGAGTTTTTAAGGCATTCGCTATATTGATTGAACTTATCGACGGATAGTTTTTAGACGTATCTATCAAAGAACAGTTCACACCACAACCATAGATGTCAGAAAATGGAAAAAAAAGGTTAAATTATGCCCTTTTTATATCTACTAAAGACAGTGATACCGATCTCATAAGATTCCAGTGGCTACTTCCACCCGTCAGCTCAACTGCTAAAATTCGTGCTTAATCGGCTGCAAAAATGTTTGTTGAGAATCTTCATATGACTAGAATTGCTATAATTATTGGGCGCGACATGATTTTAATTTAAATTTCATAAAGTTAAACTGACATAATATATAGGTATTCCATTTTTTCTGTGGCCTTTATTTTCTTCCCTGAAGTATATCAAATATATAAACATATAAAATATTATGATTTATGAATTAAGACATGGATATCAGATATATAGATATAAATTTAAACATAATATAGGATCAACACAATCTATACTTCTATACTATTACTGTAAAGAATTTGTAAGGATGTACACTTGTTTGTATGTACCTATGGGATAATCTCTGAAACTATTGAATCGATTTTAAAATGTCTTTCATAAACAGGAAAAGCTGCATTATCTATGCATAATATAGCCTATATTTTATTTTATTAAAATCTCAATATTTAGGTGATCACACAAGGATTTTGAGATTCGTGGTAGAAATCAAAAATTTGATTTTCGCAGATGATAAATAGTTTCCATTGGTTACAGATTATAAAAGTCATTTTAAAAATTAGTAGAAATTGGTATTTTTTTTTTTGTATACAAAAGGTTTACATTGCCCATTGGTTATTTGGACAAATGAGGTAGAAGCATGTATCAAATCTTATGACATCGAATAAATAAATTATATCTTAAAAGGATGCTACCCAAGCGTTTGTTGTCTCCGTCTTACCAACTTACGACACAGCAAATTTTCGTTCACTAGTTTGAATAGTGTGTCGTAGTTAGTTTTGATATTAGAGTGAATATTGCTAATAATGCTTAAGCGTCGGCGAATTTTCGATGTTTTTATTTTCAAGCAAGATAAGAGTATGTGAAATAACATAAACCTAAAATTCTCATAATTCACTCTATAATATCAAAACTAACAGTACACTATTGAAACTAGTAAACGAAAATGTTCCGTGTGGTACGTGTGTGAGACGGAGACAACAAATGCATAGGTAGCGTCCTCTTAAAACAAATATGATAGTTGTCGTAGTTGAATGTGTAAGTTTGTACCTTAAAAAGGTTAGAACTACCCACTTCACTGATTTTTTCAACATTTCAAATTATTTTAAGAAATATCATTTAAGTTAGAGAATGGGGGGAGGGCAAAGTTAATCACAATGTACTGACCCATTTAAAATAATAAGTTTACCCTCTCAATATTGTTTCTGGGGGAAGGCACAACTGCCAACTTATGCCCTCTCAAATACCACCTTTGTATATATTTTTATAATTTTAATAATAATTACACAATCATATTATTTTAGGATTATCGAACAGCAGCAATATAACAAATAATATTATGTTTCAGTTAGGCATGGGTAACGTAAAATATAAAAAAATTTAGAATTTAGAATAAATATTCAATAAATAATTCTAGAAAAACAAAAATGTCACTAATAAATAATAATAGACAATAATAGTCCATCGTCAACGGATAATACCTACCTAATACAAACAATTAATGTTCTAGTTGTGAAACATATAGAGATGATTTTATGATTTATGGCCATAAAAAAATTATATTCAAGCTGAAGTTCATGGGTAATGGTCGTCGTTTCTATCACAATTCAATGTTATATTTTTACGGACAGAACAAAAATATAATAAGTTAGATATTAATATAATAGTATGCATAACTATTGTCTATTATAATCATATGTGTTGGTACAGTAGGTTAGGTTATTATAGGTACCTACGATAACACTAATTATTAGGTAATAATAATTGTACTATAGGAACAAAGAACACACCACACGCATGTGTAAACACTGTAACGAGTGAAGCAGAAATAAAATAAATTCAGTGCGGTGTGTATAGGCCGACTAACCCGGGCCTGTCCAATTTTTGTTTGATCACTTAGGTTTTTTTACATGTAAAAAGTATTAATCAAAATAAATCAGGTATGGTCAAAGGTTATAGATAATACTATCTATAAGCCTTGATCAGTTATCGAGTCTGTAAATCATAGTAAATATAATTTAAATTTAATCTAAATTAAATGTACGGTTAAAATTGAGCAATAGTCATATCCTAGTCAATTATAGTCAAAATATAACTCAACTACAGTACTAATATTAAAATGTATATATTTAGTCAGTAATATTTTGAGATTATTGACGAAATTCTCTAATTAGCCATGTCGGCTAATATAAATTTGAAAAAAATAATGGTTTCCTTACTGCTGTTGATGTGTGTGATCCCAAATCCACTGACTTCATGAATGTATCAAAACTACAATACCTATACACATGTGAGTTTTATGTAGAAATTTTTTTTTATGAATATTAACCGATACAGTAAAATTCCAAAATGAATAAATACTTAAAATACGTAGACTAGGTTAGCTACTGGTTTCGGAAGCCCTATCGGTAAAAAAACATAACAATTTTTTGAATTTTTTTAGCGAATACTTGGTATAATATCAAAGTAAACTTCTTAATCTATAATTCACTCTAAAATGTTTCACCATCGAAATTAAATTAGCATAGAGGGATCAAGAAAATAAAAACACATGTTTCTAAAGGTAACTCTCCTATTAATATTATTGAAATTGTTTTGAATTTCTTACTAAATGTTACTGCATACCTAATACTATTTCTATCATTTCTATTACATTATTACTATTTTCATCGTAATTGTTCATTCAATTTTAGTTTATCCGTTTATGTATTAATTAATTAATAAATAAATTGAATTATAATATTTTATGTATTGTTGCTTTGCCAAATCGTGTCTACTACATCTCATAATACATTCGTAGACATCATCTGTACGAATCGTGGCCCTTGATCGAATTTCTGTTGAAGATCCATATAATATAATGACCTAAGTAATATTATTAGGTACGTCTTTGAATCGCGATAGATGTCCGGAGTACCATGTACCTACATCATAGTACTGTTCACTCAGTGACAGTGACCACAACCGAACCGAGAAGAACCGATTATGAAAACAAAAAACCCTTAAAATACTGGGAACCTGAACCTAAAAGGAACCGAATTTAAATATTTTCAAAAAACCCGGAACCTGTTTTTATCTTTAAATAAAAAACATGATTATGACTGCTGTATGATTTTTATATACCTATGTAAAAGCATTTAATTAAGAAGAAAATAAAGAATGAAGAAACATTTTTAAATCTTGCTAACAGGAATCTAACTTTAACTCTTAAATTTATTTGTGAAATTCGGAACCGGATCCAAAACGCCATAATTAAATAAAAATTAAGTGCAGGAACCGGAATTAATTCTGTAAATACCAGAAAGTACCAGTCCCTGCTCTACAGTTTCTGCGAAGCACTAAAGTGTGTCTAAGGACTTTAAGTAATCCGATTTAATACCATTGGTGATTTTGCTTCATAAGAAACGACCATATTTATATATACGTAGCCACGTAGGTATAATATATAATATTGTATAATTAATGTACAATGTGTATTACACATTTACGTGACGCCCACAGACACTTGTAGGATGCAGTTAGTATTATACTTATACTTTATCTTTTTTCTTCAACGAACACATCGCATCATCACTGCATATAAATATGATAATAATGTATACAAGTTTCTCAAACAATATATAATATATATTATAAATATGCATGCAGTATGTACATATACATATAATATTATGGATACATATAATTTAATTACAATAACAAAATATGTAAAATTACGATATCAAGTATACAATATTGTAAGATTATTGTTATAGGTATTTTTAACATGTGTGAATATATTTATACACAACAAATAGAAAAAATAAATATGAACAACTGTATAGTGTTTTTCAATTTTTCATAATTTCGCTTTTTTGCGGGGTTTAGTTCAGGCTACATATTTTACTTTTGGAGTAAGTAGTTAATTTGGTTATCCTATCACTAAAATGCTTCTCCGCAAAACCTGTGGCTCATCTCGATTTCACATTATACTTGGAGTTATTTTTGATAATGGTTAGAAGCCGTGGAAATCTTAGTTGTCTTGATCTGATGATTTGGTGGTATTTATAATAATTATTTGTATGGAACAAACAGTTTTGGTTTTGATAATCCGTTGTATAGTTGTATGTTTTTTTTTTGTTTTGGATTCAATTACATGACTTTTATGTGAAATGCTTGTTCAATGTTAGTTATTACTTCAGAGTTACCTACTACATTATTATTTATGTTTATGACTTTAATTATTTAGGTTTTGTTTGCCTCATCTTAATTGAGATGGTTTGGTCATCCTCAAAGTCGAATGTCAAAGTTCAAATATATCTTGTTCAATATAAAAAATGTCTGCAGACATAAACAATAAAAAGAATTTAAAAAAACAGATATTGTACCACATTCATCAATCGAATCAGAATCAAAAATTTAAATACTAAATAATAATTCATTTTTCATTTATTGCTCCTGGTATGTGACTAACCAAATTTTACGTAAAGGTTTAAAAATGTATACCAATACCTTACTATAACCGATTCCACATGAAATTTAACTCTAAAGCTAACTAATTAATTAATTAATAAAGTTTAAGTGTATTAATAAATTTAAATTTTATAAGAACAGGCTTCTACCCAAAATATAACTCATTGTACTAATGTGTGAATGGATTGTTTTTATTCGTTATAACAAAAACATTTTTAAACAAAAGTTTACTCAGACTTCGATTTTGATTTTGCACTTGATTTAAATACCGATTTTTTAAACAAATAAAGCGTTTTATACATAATGTAAGCAACTAATAAAATAACTAATATAAAAACAGCAATGACGTCCAGTAAAAAATATTGATACCATTTCAAATTAAATGCTTGAGATTTTAAGTGAGGAGCACCTTTATGACGAACAACGTATCTCGTCCAATAATCAATGGCTTTTGACGGTGTCAACGGACGGTCTTTAAAACGATCAGAAGCTATTTTAGCATTCTGCATGTACCTAAAAAAATGTTTAGGATTATTAAAAACAGAAACTATATTTTTAACCGTTTAACATTATATATTTGGCAAATTGTTGTCCTCACTTTTTGTTGTTAACGAGCTCTAAAACAGCCTTCATAAATGTGTCTTCACACACAGAATTGAGATTCATTAAAATTGCCATCCCCGCGTTAACTAAATTTTGTAAATTTCTTGGTTGATCAAAAAATACTGGAAATCCAAGAACCGGAACACCGGCATCCACAGCCTCGTACACCCCAGATATTCCTCCGTGACTAATAAATAATTTTACATTTGGATGCACTATACAAATAAATATAACACTTTTATTTTACTTATTGATTTTTTGTATCTGTAAAACCTACTTATAGCATAACAATGATTGGATTTTCAACTTTATCATCTTTTCTGATTGGAAAATGAATCTAGTTGTTACATTGGAAGGAGTGGTCTCAAAAGTAAATAATGTCTAGTATAGTTTTAAAAAATATCATTAAAAACTAAATAAAAATTAAGAAAAAACGGGAATTCATACGCAAAACTAGTTTTTGACCAAATCTTGAAAATTGAATAGAGGGTTCCTTAAGTAAGTAGCTTATACTGAAACCAACAATTCTAAAAAATCCCCAGTTCCTGATTAAAGTTTGAAGTTTAAATTTGTTTGAAATCACAAATTTATACGAAAAATAACGATAATGTTAATTATATTGCTCATTTACTGTAATTATAAAAAAATATATTTGTGAGAAGTGGAAACTTTTACATACACATTATAAATTTTACTAAGTGCAATGATATTTACAAAATATTTAAATTAATTTTTAACTATTTCCTAATTCTAACATAAACCTATTCACACTGTTCTACTATAAGGCGGTATTTTTTAATGGCAGTTAATAACAACGAGCTGTATATTACATGTCGTCACCTGGGGATAAATAGTACCGAGGTTGACAACATAAAGCTTTAAAGGAATCAATATACAACATTTCAAATTCATTTAAACCTGCATTTTAATTTCCCTGAACAGACGGCAACACTATTGTATTCCTATTCACATCTAGGTACTGTACAGCATAGCTGTAATTACCTCCCACAAACCCAACTTTTTTTTCAATATTTTAAGATATTTTATATTTTTTACTATCTTACAAAGTATATCTCGTTGAGGGAACCATTTCTTTATCATAATATTCTCTGGTATGTCAATCATCATTTCATCTTCATATTTCATCAACACTCTTTGAGGAACTTGACTTAATACTTTTATAATATCGTTTCTAACAGTTTCCGGTATCGAAGATACTGCCACGACTGAACCTAAAGTAAAAACAATAACTCCATGTGGCGAGTTTTCGATGAATTCTAAAATATCCTGTATAAATAATAATAAATATCAAGTGTTTTAGTATTTAATGTAATATTGAATAAATATAAAAAATCTAACTAGATATTAATAGTTTTAATACTGAAGCATTAAATTGTTCATTAATTGTATACATTAAACCATTTAAACCTACTTTCTAATATCGAGTACCTATATGAAGATTAATTAATTAATTATCTTTCATATTTTCTAGAAAAAGGATTAAGTAAATCATTCAAATTTATAATTTTTATCTTTCTTATCCTGAGAAATTGCAGTAGATATATTATATTTTATCTTTACCGAGATAATTTAAATTTAAAAACTCTATCTGTATTTAGATAGACTGTATAAAATTATCTTTTATGTATATATCAATATAAACGGTAAGTTATTATTAACACTGCTACTTTCACACTTTTAGAGTCTGAGCATAGAGAATGGATGTATTGTATTTACAATGATGTGGTTTTTTTTTCTGTATGTCGTCAACATTCGGAGTAATAAAAATGCTACGATTCTAGAGATCAGCCATAGGCGTGTCCACGGGTCTTGCCTGTCATGCATAGGCATGACCTGCAAAATTTGATCTAAATTAAAAAAATTAATTTAAAATCTATAAATTCGGGGTCATACCCCAATACCCTAACAGAATTTTTTATTGGCGGGGGAGAAGGTGTAGTTTTTCTCTCTCCTGGATATTTCACAGTTGTGCTTGAACTGCGAATGAGGTCTGAACACGCCTATGAGATCAGCATCTAATTTTATAGAAAAGTGAATTTGGTTGATGAGTCTTGTTTTGAGAGGTCAAATTCGAAAATACCCGGTAATTTTTTATGTTGGCTTTGAAAAGAAAAACTTTTATAAATTTCTAAATAAAAATTAATTGGTAACATTTGAAAAAATTCTCATAGTTATAAATGGCTCCAAAAGAGTAAAATAGTTTGAAAATTTAACCAAATATTAAATGCTGGTATAAAAATTTGATGACTATTTCAAGAGTCTGCAGTTATTAGTTGTTGATTAACACCAACAAAATACAATCGATTTTTACTGAAATTTGGTTTTGAGTAAAAATTACCACGTTTTTCACTTTTTTTTTTGTTTTTCAAGACACTTTCTCAGATTAGTGGGAATTTTAAATTTTTACCTCGCAAAAGTACCAACTAAATTCACATTTAGTTATTATTGCAATAACACTACTATTTTCACACTTTTCATATTTAAAATACAAATTATAAATTTCTTAAATTTAAATTTAAACATAAAAAAGTGGAAAAATTGTTTTAAAAAATTAAACTTCTTTAAAAATTAGTTGCCTTATTTCTTCCATACATTGGTTCAAACGTGGGTACCTATGTTAAATATTTTGGAACAATATTGACTGCTTTCTGTCCCTCAATTATTATACAATATAATAATTAAGATGAAGTATTAACTGCATATGTTGTCTGTCTATCGCATAAGGCATATTACATACCAAAATGTGTATATCAATACAATAATTCCAATATTTTATAAGTAGACAATTAAGTAGTTAGCTTAAATTCCATGATTTCTATTTATTCTATTCATTTAAAAATCTATTCATAAATTTAAAATTAAGATCATTATCTATATCCTTTCGTTCATTTTTTTAATTACATTTACATTACATATTTTAATTTATAAGTGAGTTATGAGGATAAAAATATTACTACTTAGAAATGCTAATAACTAGCTTAAATATTAAAATATTGAGACATCCTACTAGAGAACACAGATTATGTTCTTATAATTGAGTTTTGCTATTGGTTAATTTACCATACAATTTTTCAGTATTAACGTTAACTACACCAAATTAGAAATGCTGAATACAATTTTGTTCTATGGTGTATATTTATAAGATTGGACAACACATTCGAGAGAGCTTGACGTCAACTGCATTCTACATAATTATAATTAAGAGTGATATATTTCATAAATAAAAAATTACTCACATCAGGTATTTTTTTTGGTGGTTTGAGATGTATACCACCAACTTGAATGACACTCGGTGGCATAGGTCTTGGGGCATCAGTAATAAAATGTGAGTTACTAAATACTATGGAAGGTTTAACGAGTTCAAACAGATCAAAAGACTCTTTTTCGACTATTCTTGACAACCAACTTATAAACTGAAGCCAACATGTTGTAAAAAATAACAACATAGTGTTTGTAAACCGTTCAATCATTGTTTTAGGAATGCTGTGATCAGCCAATACATGGGATACGACAGCTGGGTTTGGGTAATGTCCTAAGACAGAACGTTCCAAGTATGATATTAAAGGTGGTGGTGTGACGTATATTAATGGTACGTCAAATTTTGCAGATAAGTATGAAACGCATTCCGATCCCATTAACTCAATGATAATGACATCAAAATTTAATTTTGATTCGGTTGATATGCTCTTAATGAAATTATTTTCACTTAATATCTTACAAGTGTCTCGGCTATAAGCATTAATAAAATTTACTAAATCGATATATGCCGTAAATTCTTTATGCACATCGTCAATGTTCAACCGTACCAATGATCTAACTTCTTTAGATAAATCTATTTCTGTGTAATTTTCTCGGTCACCATTAGGAAATGGTGTCAAAACTGTTACTTGATGGCCGTGGTCTGTTAATGCACGAAGTATTCCTTCCATAAAGTTCCAATGACTCTTTCCAGCTATTGGACTAAGAGCCAAAATTCGTTCACCATCTACTGGTTTAAAATACAATGTAGCCCAGCAACAATAAAATGTAATTAACAATATCTTAATTAATGTTGCCATAATTGTATGCTCGCCGTACTCTAAAAGAAATGAAGATAATAATTACATTTAAGTCAAAAATTAATTGAAATTATACATTTGGTCAAATATTGTCATATCGATAGCTAACAGGCAAACGGCCGTTTCCACCATAAAAACAATTTTTCAGGATATTGAAAAAACAAAATTTTCTTACTGAATATTATTTTCAATAGTAAATCTTAAGCTACGCAGATTAAATTTTAGGGGGCAGTAATGCAACATTATTGTAATGCATTGAAAAACTTTAACTTAAAAATAACTAATCGCATCAATAATTATTAATACAATTGCGGATACTTCTACTTTTTATGTTACCCGGATTTTGGTGGGTACGTTATCTCAACAAAAATAATAACGCTGGTCGTTGATTGCTAATAATTTTGTGCTATAGACAAGCCTTAATAAACTATTATTTTTTTAAGATTTTACAATAGCATTTTACGCGCGCACTTATAAATAATCCATCTGTTATTTTTTGTCACAATTGGGACTTATCGTTAATTTAAGCTGAAGTTCAAACAGACGTATCCGGCAATTTGGCTTAAACGACCATTGGTATTATTCAGAAATGAGTAATGACTAATACGTTCAAACAATGGTGCATACGTCCGATTTATTTTATACCTGTTAGTTAAATTATCAAAAAGGCTGATACATCCTCAAGAAAATGTGGATAACTCTAAAATAAATATATTTTTTTTTTTTTAACAAAATTTTATTTATTACGCTATCTGTTACAATATTGAACAATAAGCTTAATTGATAATAACATAAACAAAAAATAGACAGAAGAGACTGAATGAAGAGACCTCCCATCGGAGGTACTTCAGCATGAATATTAATTTAAATTTAAGGTATTAGTTCTAGCATAATATTAATATTAATAATAGTGATAGTGCAGTGAATACATATACATACTACATAATAGTTATAAGTAACAAAAGATCATAAGTTGTATTGATACATTTTTTTTTTTTTTTTTTTTTTTTTTTTAAATTATAAAAGTAGGTCACGACACCATTGCCTTTTTAATCTTTTGTGGGGATTTCCTGGAATAGTTGCAGATGATAGTTGGACAATAAGGGGATTGGAATGATGTGTTAGCTTGTTGTTGAATCGTTTATAGTGGAGCTTGGCTAGTTCAGTGACGGTTGGTAAATTGAAGTCAGAATGAAGGGTATCATTTGAAACATAGAAGGGAGCTTTGGAGATGACGCGAAGGACTTTGGATTGAAACCTTTGTATACGGTTTGTATTTGATACTTTGGCTGAGCCCCAAAGTTGTAAACCGTAGGACCAAATGGGCCTGAGTAGTAGTTTATACAGCAGTAATTTAGTAGGTAGTTTGATATTTTTAGAAGTTAGGAGTGGCCGGAGAAGACGAAAACGTTCGTTCAACGTTCGAGTTTTATTTTTAATGTGAGCTGACCAGGTAAGTCGACGGTCAATGTTGACTCCAAGGTAGCGTACACATTGGGCAGTGGGGAGGGGTTGGTTGTTAAGGAGGAGGGTCGGGCACACTCCTTGACGAAGCGTAAAAGTACAATGGATTGATTTAGATTCATTCATTTTAACTCCCCATTCCTTGTACCAGGCTTGGAGAAGGTGAAGGTGGTCCTGAATATAGCTAGAGGCTAGATGAGGATCAGAACTAGAGGCTAAGATAGCTTTATCGTCGGCAAAGTCTCCGACAAGCGTATGGAGGGAAGAGGGTTGATCAGATATATATATATTAAATAGGAAAAATAAATATTAAATAACTTAGTAATGGTTGTAGCTAGAACCGCTAGAATGAGCTCATTTGATGTATTTTCTTTTTACGACGTATTCATATTATACTGCTATGGAGGATACTTCCAAAGTGGAGGATACGGCCCTTTGACTGTTCGCTTTCGACATTAGAAACAGTATTCGGAAAAAAAAGCCCCGTACCAACTAAATACGTAACACTTTTTTATGATAGTGTACATTTTATCATTTTTAGTTTTTAAACAATATATTATCATTTATCTATACTTTCTTGATATAACTATATGTATGATATATAATTTTTATATTCTTTTATATCATAATAATATTTAATCCAATAATTAATCAAATATTTTAAACTATTTAGTTATAAACATACATTTGAAATATAAAAAATTTAAGTATGTTGTAATAAAAGTAGTTGACATTTAACTTCATCTTAAAAATGATGAAGGTACTATTTTTTATTGTAGACTCTATCTTAGTATCTACAACATTTTATTATATCAAATGTGATTTTTTTGTTCATATAGTTTTTGTTTGGATTATTTTTAATTAAAAGTGTGTATCTATACCTACACGTTAGGTATGATATTCTCTTCAGTACCAATTTTTCGTTCATATGGTTACTATCGTGTAACATTTTGATTATTTTGAATTAATAGTGCTAATATATAATGAAAACGATACAAAATAATAATAATAATAAAATAATCGGTGGATATTTGTACAACATTCAAAAAGAATGCAAAACTATGATTCGTTGGAGATGTACTAAATCAAATTCAATGGAGTGCCCCTGTATTTAAAAAACCCGATTTAAATAAAGATAGTTCAACTTTACTTTCCATTGAACACGATGACGTACACGAGGCGAATGAGTAGTAAAAATTCAAAAAATGATAAAGGCAAAAGCCAAGATAACCAACGATGCACCTAGTCAAATGCTTTCAAGTGCAATACTAAATGTTCCGGAAAGTGTATTAGCAGAATTGCCGGGGGAAGATTACTTAAAAAGAACTATTCGAAATCATAGGCGGTATAAAAATACACCAAAACTGAGAAGTCAGAAATAAATGTTGAAGGGAAATAAAAAATTTTAAAACTATTTTTAAACCTTCGCTTAATTTTTAAGCAAGATATATGAGTATTTTTTAATTTCAATATCTTACATACTCACATATCGTTTAAAAATAAAAATATTGTAAAAGTCAACATAAATTGTTTAGAGATGAAAGCTCTAATATTATTATAACGAGTAACAAATCTATAAAAAATGTATGATGTAAGATGTACCGAACATTGTTTTTAGTTACAATTCTTATCTCTAACAATGTTACGCACTTGTACATTCCAAAAATAAAAATTGATTCTTAAAACATATACATATGGGTACTTATTTAGTTTAAAATTTAATAGGTGAATATAAAGAATATGGTCAAGAAAGATTTTTACTTTAAGATAACGGCCCAAATACCTGCAGTGAAAGCATTATTATGCTTGCCACCAATATAGGATTGTCCTTACTAGGTGAGTCGAACCTACATGGTTTAGCGATGGAAACTTTGACCTGACTCCTGAATTTTTTAAACAATAACTGTAATTATTACATGTGATACGTATACAAAAAAAATCAATGTTTGTTACAACTATTTATTGTATTCTTGAGTGCAAAACTCGAGATACATTCGAGGAAATGTGTAATATTCTAATAAATGAGTATAAAACACGTACTATGTATCCAGCTTGAAGATGCTTAGACTTGGATTTTGAATTAGCTGTAATGAATGCCGCTAAGAATATTTTAGGAAACCACATTACGATAAATGGATATTTTTATCATTTATGTTAGCCGACTCATAGAAAATTACAAAAACTTGGTTTTGAAATCATTTACAAAGAAGATAGTGACTTTAGAAAATATTGTGGTATGATCGATAGCTTAGCTTTTATACCTCTGGATAAAGGGTTCGATGAAATTAAGTGGTGCAAAACTTGGTACAAAACAATTAACTAAAAACCGCTTAAAAAATAAATGTATACAAATTAAAAATAATGATATAAGTATATTCGATCTTCTAATGGCATTAGAAAGTAATGCTACTAAATCATTTTTTAAATTGTTGAACTTAAAACGTTTTTTTTTAATTATATTAAACAAACGACAAATTACAATTATTTAATAATTTTTTCCTTTAAACATTTTCTTAATCATACACTAATGACAAAAAACAATTGATTGAACTATACTATACTATACTATACTATACTTGGATATTTTATAATAAGAATAATACATGTTAAGACACGTTATTGAACTATTTATTATATTTATTATATTTTATTATTTATATATATATTTTGATTTATGATTTATATTTTATAATTTTTAACTGTGATAAGATTAGTTATTGTTTAATGTCATATACTAGGTTTAATTTTTTTTTTTAATAACTACCTTTATGTAACAACCTTTTAATAAAATAAATGTATTAAGTACCTAGTATAATAAATTAGATGCATAATAGTATAATAAAATAATTTAATAATTAATGAAAAACAATTGTTAACAATAATTAATGTTAGGTGTATTAGCTTATTAAATATTATTATGACGTACAACTATAAAAGTATATACAAATTATTAAACTAGTATTTTATAATATTATATTTATGGTTATAGATAATATGTTAAAGAGTTGTTACATAGATAAATGTAATGATTATATTATAATTATATTTAATCATGCAAATCAAAATAAAAAAGAATAATGTATTTAGTTGCTATGGGGCTTTTTTTCCTAGATTCATTAGAAACTCTTAACAATTTTCATTTTCTAACGTATAGGTTGCTGAAGAGTGAATAATTGTATGATTGGTAAGTAGTAAATTATTATTTATACTTATTATTTCAGTGTATAGAGGTTTAAGTTAAATTCTGCTCATAAAAAGATAAATTGTATCGATAAGTCTTAACCAAATAAATTACATTAAATTTAAGAATAAAAATCAATCATTTGCCAACTCCGCGTTGGTTAAAAATAATAAAATTAAAAACAGCAATCAATATCTAAGAATTATTTAATTTTGTACAATATTGGGAAATCGTCAATACAATGAGTTTCAGCTAGAACAATAAACCAATGTTTTATTTTCGATTTTAATACAAAATGCTACAGCCACGGAAGCGTTAAATAACACAGTGGTCAATCTCGTTTTTCTATACTTACTGCATTGAAAAACAGTATTATTAAAATAATAATTATGTTTTTAAAAATAATTTTAATATTATTATTGCTGACAAATTCGTAATAATATAATATACTAAAAATGGCAGTTTAAATTTAAGAATAAATATAAATATACTGATAACGGGTATGTTATATTGTACCTTTTTTTTTTTTATTATTATTTGACATAAACGATCTATACAAATATTGCACAATTAGTTTATATGATGAGTGTATTAAATATGACATGTAAGTTGTGATTTAAGCAGCCACCCATTAGTGACTCTTGGCTATTGATTAGTTATTTTATTTTTTTTTTTTTTTTGACTAGGTTATTTGACATTAGACATTAAAATTTTGCAATAGGTCACGGCACCATTTTCTCTTTAATCTGCGGTTAGGATTTCCTGGAAGAGTAAGGATGGAAAGATCTTTTATGAGAAGGTTTGAATGAGTTTGGAGTTTTTTATGGAATCGTGTGTAGAATATTGTACCTACAGGTAAAATAATTAAGTAGGTACTACAAAATTATTAATAATATATTAATATCTGAAAATACAAAGTTACTTACTTGATAGTTGACACTATAAAATGTACAATACAGTTGAGATTTATTATATTACCTATATTACATTCAACATATTATTAAAAAAATTATATTGTTTTATTATAAACAATGAACATATCAACCACTTTAATAACATTAAAATTAAAAATTATTAGTTTCTAAATAGACACAGAAACACGGTGCATATATACACAAGAAATGACATCACACTTAAGAAGTTACTAATTATAAATATCAAAAATTGTTTTAAATTTTATTTATCTTAGGCTATACCCTATAAGTGCCATGGATTCCCAATCACTGTATTCTTGAGATGTTGTTCAGACTTGTTATCATTTTATTTGTGTATAATGTGTATTGTATATTATAGGTAATTTGACATTAATTTAGATATTTTGGTTCTTGGTTATTCATGTTTACTTAATTTTTTTCAGTTATAGGTTCCAAATACTTACCTTGTAGTAAATATCTATTTCTAATTATATAATTTACATAAACTAATAAACCTACAATCAATGTGTAGACATTAAAATAAAAATTTTTAAAATATATATTCCATTTTATCTTACACTTCGATAATATATTTAAATTTAAATTGTTCTGATAAATGTGGTCTTATATCATCTCTATTTAAAAATAAATATTTATTTATATTTATGTTAGTGCCGAAAAGTTCTATAAAAAAACCAAATGAGTCGACAAATAAAAAAATGTTAGGAACCCTGGTCTATGCAGTCTACACTTTGCACTATTGAGATAAAAAAGAGATAAAAAATATTATCAGGTACTTACATTTTTTAACATAATATAATATTTTTATTTGCATACATAATATATAAATATATATAGAGATGACCTAACTTGACTTATCAAATAAACGATAGACACAAATATTTTTTTGCTAAATCAATAACCTTTAACAACGGTGCATTTCTTTTTTAAATTCAAATTTTAACAAAATTTATCAAAACCTTGTAAATTTGCAAATTACTTTGTAGATAAAAAATTATTTTTATAGCTAAGAATTGAAAATGTAATACTAGATTCTCGTTAACAATTCATACTATAACAAAAAAATCTAAAAAAAATAAATAGTTATCTTTTACAAGCATTTTAAGTTCAAATTTGGACAAAATTACATATTAAATCAAAAATAACAATTTTAGTAATTTGTTTGTAATTTAAAAATTTAACCGTGGGTATTTGAAACTCATAGAGTATATTATTATATTTTATAATTTATATACAGCAACGACATTTTCATATGCAATTTATTCAACAAAAATAAATTTAACCAACTGCAGTTAGTACTAAAGTAAATTATTAATTTAATCGCATTAATAACATAAAATATATTTAGTAATATATATTATATTATAGGCTGACAGACTGTCTTCGTTCAAAATCGTTTTTCGTATTCAATGATTTTATATCACTGAATTCAAACGGTATCCATTACGGTAACTCTCTAGATACCTAATGTACAGCAGACCATTACCCCCTAACTCGTTTTTTTTTCATTTGCGATTTCAAACTGACTATTTTTTAAAAATTCTAAAAAAAGGTTTTTTATGGAAAATTATTATTATGATACATAAGGTGGGCCTGTCACACAGTAATTTCCAGTGCCGAATTGTTTAAACTATCCGCTGCCTACCAACTGTATACTGTAAAAATAATTGACGACTTATAAAAGGTCATATAATTCGTTGTTAAGAGGAACCAAGCCACCAAGGTATATTGTAGAGAATAATAGGTCAGAAAAAAATAATATTGACTTACCCAGACAACAATTATATCCATGTTAAAATTATCAAGGTACATTTACATATTTATCACTTCGTTCCGGAGACCGTTGATTGCGTCACAACTTCCAGACACAGGGGAATAATTTTTTTCTACCTTTTCTGTGTTCCGGTTGCGTCCTATTCTATGGTAAGGTAAGAGTTAAATACACCTCCCGATTCAGTCTTTTATACCTTACCAGTGTTAAAAGTCGGATAGTTATATTCTTTTTCCGGCCTTTTTGTGTTGCAATTGCGGCCGATAGATAGTCATAATAATAATTAGTAATTATTCTGTCAGTGATATTCAAAAAATAATACAAAAACAAATCAAAATCATTCGAAGTATATAAAATATGTTTATCAATTCCAGTGCATACTGGTCACCAAATAACATTTTCGTAAGTTCATCAAGTGAAAACAAAATCGCGTTTAAATAGACCTGCACACCATCTATGGACTAAATTTACTATGTGTATTTAGCTCCTACCTACTATACAATATAAGACGCAATCGAAAGGCTGAAAAGGTATAAAAGGTTGAAACGGGCAATGATGCCCCTTCGTTTATATATCTGCGGCTGTTGATTTTATATAAAATAAATAGTTATAATTTTTTTATAATAATAATTTATGGGAGTAGATACTATATCTGACATCAGCCGTAGATGGTTTCTCTGGGGTTTTCACATAAACCAAATGTGCAGACTGATAAAAGTAATTTTTAGAAAAATAAACACTGAATTGAAATATTGATATGATTAAAATATAATATAAGATATTTATAATACTCAAATTTATCTCCAAGTATAATTTATGCATACAAGAATAAACAGAGGACTGAAATACCCACAACTCACCCACAGCTCAAACTAATGGCAGTAATGCGTGGCCATAAAGTATAGAAACTTGACACTTTGCAAAGGTTATATTATATTACATAATATATGCAAGCAATAAGAAGGAACCATGCTAAACTGCGATCAAATTAAGACGATGTCCCGTCATCGTAGGAAAAATCGGTTTAAGACAGCTATCTGGTCATTGTCTTAACTTGGTCCCATTATACACCCTGTCATAAAGACCAGTTCCATTGTGACAGATATTGACAGCGTGTGGCGTAGTGACCTCAGGAGAACCGATTTCTGTCGGGCCGCGGTGTATTCTCTCACTGGACAGAGTATAAACTTGTTCATCTTTGCATCTAATAACCAATATAACTATTAGTAGGTAATTAGTTTATTAATAAGTAATAACCTATATATTTCTACTGAACAATTGTGTATACTTAGGTGGTAGGTATGACTATTAACTATTATTGCCAATTCATCATGAATATTACACTTAACTTGAAATTATTTTTAGATAAGAAACATTAAACATATAACATAGATTACGTCTGAGAGAGAACCATAGAGTAGAAATATATAATTATAATATTGTGCAATTAAAAAAAAATGTTTAAAAATAAACATTGCACCCACGAGCGTTCGTTTGTTTTTATTTTTTAGTTAAATTCTTAACCTAACGTTTAACTTAATTTAGTGATATTATTTGATAATTTGAGAGTATTTCAAAGTACAAAATTATTCATCCATTGGCGCAACTAGGGATGCTTTAAGTCTATTGCACCTCCTAAAAAATCGTTCAAAAAATTGAAATAAAAAGTTGATATTTTATTGAATTACAATTATAATACAATAGTAATTTGTATCATTATTATTTATAATGTTGATTTTAATTTAATAGAATTAATAAGATAGCCGCTTAGTCCAATAGCCCAAGTTATTTTTAATTGTCTGTATTACAATATCATTGCATAATATTTATAATACTGTTATATTTTAATCAGTAACATACTAACATATTAATCTGGTATTCCCAGAGAGACTGAAAATTTGGTCACGACGACGGCACGAGTACACGACGTATAGGCGTATAGCAGTTAAGCCGGGTTCCCACGACTAGTGACTACTGACTTGCCAAATTCGCCAATAATTGTATATTCGACAAGAGCACGATGAGGGTGTTCACACGACTGGCGTCCTTGACAAGCAGGCCAATACTTGAGCATTTGTACAATTAGCCAAGTACACTATTCCCACAGCTGGCTGTTATTATAGCAAATATTGGTGGTGGTGGTGGTGGTGGCAACAATTTAATAATAATTTAATATTTTCACTTTTTTGGTTTTTGTGAAATTTAAACTAGAAATTAGTGTAGTTATAACCGTTGTGTGCTAAAGACTTTCCCACTAAATAGATAGTTATTTTTAAATTATAATTTAACACAATTTAATCAATAATTGATTGGATCAATGATAAGCGACAACGACAAAGCACTAGTTAGTTGTTTTTGCTTCATGTATTGTTATGTGTGGAGAATATTTTTAAAAAAAGAAAAATGTCAAAAGTCCAAAGGAGATGTAGGATGACGACAAAACATCAAAGTCGTATTCTAAATAGGTATTGGCCAAGTACACCAGTCGTGGGAATGCAGCTTTAGGTCACAGAAGTGGCGAAGCGTCATAGAAGACAATGAGTCAACGTCTCCCTTCTTAGAAATTAGAGCATGGGAGAAATAAATAATAATTTTGTTTTATAAAATATTTAAAAATTGTTATTATTATTTTGTACTATAAAATATATGATGTAAGTACCTATGTTTCAATATTTGTTAAAATCGGTTTTTCATTGGACAGTTATAGAATTATTAAAATAGATTAGATGGCGCGATACGGCCGCGCGTACGAGCTGGCGATGAGAGTCATTCCAAAATAATATATGGTATTATATAAAATAGACCAGCGTTTCCCAAAGTGTGTTCCTCGGAACCTTAGGGTTCCGTGGGACAAAGTCAAGGGTTCCGCCAAATGTATGAGATTATTGAGAAAATTATGTTTATTTAATGTTTGTTATTTAAAAAAATTTTGATTGAAAATTTTTTTTTAAACTAAGTTTAATAATGAAAAGTCATTAACAGTATCATTAAAATATTATTTATAGACTTGAGAGTTTAGACTCTAAACTTTAGAGAGTTGATTTTCCTTTTTTTATTTAGAAAAATTGAAGTTAAGTTGGATTAGACATTAGGATTCCGCGAAACACAAACAATTTTTTAAGGATGCCGTGGTCGTAAAAGTTTGGGAACCGCTGAAATAGACATTGCGACGCAAATATGGGAGCGTGGGTACAGGGAGAATTTTAAAGTGAACGGGGTTTACTATCTAATTTATGAGACGCGTCTCATAATATAGAAAATAGATTTAAC